ATGGAACCACTTCGACTTGGTGGCAAAGCAATAGATGTTCTGTCTGCAGAGCTGAGACACCCGTTGTTGGAGGCCGTCAACAAAGCCCAGGAAGACATAGAGAATGGCCATCATGGAGAAGATGATCACGGAAGCTGGGATGGCAGATGGTCTCGTCCAACAGAGCGACAAGTGAACACAGTTCACAAACTACAAATGCAGTGGCCTTCCGGATCGAACAGCGACGCCAGAGAAGCCCTGACCACTGCGGCTCAAGGACGTGAACTTCGATGGTCAGAGATGAATGAAGAGACAAGACAAGAATTCCGTCTTGCAGCGGATGACCAATGGAAGAAATGGCTGGAGAATGAAGCTGTGATGGTGTTAGGCCCTGATGAGTCCCGAGCGGTGGAACAAGAGTTGGAGCGAAAAGGTGAGCTTGAGAGAATCCAAGGTTCATCCTGGTTGACAAGAACGCCAAGCTCCGATCTCCTGAGTGCCCGCTTCCGCTGAAGGCAAATGCACGGATCATCGTTCCTGGATTCCGTGACCTTGCCAACCTCAATGGAGAGCTGAGAACAGATTCCCCAACGGCTTCAAGAATAGCTCAACATGTTGTTTGCTATGTTTGTGCCTGTCATCCAGAATGGTGTCTTCTCAGCGCGGACGTGCGCGCAGCTTTCCTGAAGGGCGACCCCTATGTGCAGCGGCAACTGTACATCAGAGGAACCAACCCGAAGCTCGGTCCGAGCATCGGAATCCCCACTGGGTGTGTGGCCAAAATCCTCAAGGGCATTTTTGGTCTTGCTGATGCACCTCGTGAGTGGTACCTTCGACTAGCCCGTGAACTTGGAGAGGACAACTGGATTCGGTCAAGTCTTGACCTGGCACTATGGCTTAAGTTCAACAAGGAGAACGAGCTCACAGGCATTCTAGCAGCGCACGTCGGCGACCTGTTGATGTCTAGAGACAAGGATGCTGAAGCATCATTGGTTCGACTTGGTGAACGGATTGGCTTTGGTTCTATGGACTCCCCACCATTCAGTTGGTGTGGAAAGACCTTCAGTCGAGAAGCTGATGGCCGAGTGACCTTGACTATGACAAGGTACCATGAGAACCTGACTGGCATGCAGCTAACACGCAAGAGACGGAAGGACGTCTCAAGCTTGCTCAATGCCGCTGAGGTGAAGAAGCTAAAAGGAGTTCTAGGAGCCCTACAGTGGTTGGTGGCACAACTTCGCTTCGACATGTCCTTTGCGGTGAGCAGCTTGCAGTCTGAGCGAGCAACGGTTGGAACTGCGCTTCGAGTAAACAAAGTGGTGGAAGAGGCAAAACGCCATAAGGACTTCACCCTGCAGTTCAAGGCCGTGGACTACAAGCTTGGCGGCATCATGGTGGTGACCGACGCAGCTCTTGGCAATGTCAATGCCAATGGATGCACTGAGGCCATGCCGGCCGAAAAAATGCACAGTCAGTCCTGCTACGCGGTGCTCCTCGCCGATGAGCAGATGATGCTTGGAAAGCACGGACACTTCAATGTCCTGGACTTTCGCAGCCATCGGTTGCAAAGGGTCTGTCGCAGTTCCTACGCGGCAGAGACGCTGGGATGCGAGGAAGGGCTTGATGCGGCAGAGTTGCGCCGTGGCTTCATCGCCGAGCTCAGAGGCATCGAAGTCGCAAGCCGAACAGGACACCTCAATGTCTGTCAGGTGAACCTCGTTGGAGTCACTGACGCGAAAGACGTCTATGACAGACTCTCCCAAGATGTTGGGTTTGGTGCGCAGAAGAGCCTTGCCTTTAGCGTAGCAGCTCTTCGACAACAACTTCGAAGACCTGGAACCTCCATGAGATGGACGAGCAAGGCGAACCTCTTCGTGGACAGTGGCACGAAGATGACGGACAATAGTGCATTGCGAGAGACTTTGCAGAAAGGTGAGTGGTCGATTGAGTACAACGAAAGTTTCACAAAACAGAAGAAGAAAGAAGCCAAAGTGGCCGACATGGTGGATGACCTACCTGGTCGCGCAGTGGAGGCAAAAGATGAGGCCTTGATGCGCCATGTCTACAAGCTGGCGGAACAGAGTGGATGGCACTACGTTGAAGGTGTCGGGATTCATGTGGCACACAATGCCAAATCCCTGAGGAGTCCACAACCCAGGTACTCCCTGCGGGACTGGAGTTCCTATGCCAGCTGGAGGACCAAGACCGGCGAAGTGGTGTGGCGAGTGCTGGAAGAGAAGATCGACCTCAAGGACTTGAACAACCAGCAGGAGCAGTGGACGCACCGATGCCGGCAGCTGGTCACGTTTTACACCAGCGGTCCTCGGGCCACATAAAAAAGGATCCGTGTGAAAGAGCATGGATGGCCCTCGGACATGTTTCACTGTTGTCACCGCAGGCGCCTTGAGCATCTGGCTTCGAGCCAAACAGTGTGCGAGTGTTCTTGGCCCCTTAGATTAGGTGTGTTTGAACCTCCGCTGTTTAACAAGAATCAACAATTGAGACGGAGTGAAACATGTGTTGGCAAATGAGTCACTATTGGCCGTTGTAATGGGCTGTGGAGATCGTCAAGCATGTCTTAGAGACATCATGAATCCAGTAAGTGCTACCATTCACAGAAGGATCACATCCTCAATCGCTTCCAATGTAAGCGCGGAACCCCGCACCGATGCAAGCGCGAGTCTACGTTGCCGGCGCATGTTTTCAAGCACCTGACAAAGAGCCTTGCGTTTCCTTATACAAACATGATCAAAGATTCAACTTTCTAAAGTTGCGCAAACGAAACAAAAACCATTCAACACTACTAGCAAAATTGAGCCGATTTGGAATTTTGCAGCCCAAAACGGATCGATCCACTACGCAATCTGTACTTCGAAGTGCAGGATCATTGTTCTCAAAGCTGTGGAGTGCCATCAGTAGACCCTTGTCGCTGCTGGAACTCCCAAATTGCTTGATTGTATGGGCTGCTTGGAAGCTCGAAGTCGCCATGTGGACGCTTCAGCGTGACACACTCTTAGCATATTGAGCATTGGGGGGGCATGAAGTACGGAGAGTTGGAAGCAGAGTTGGAAGGAGGGCGAAGCTTGAGCAAGACCTGGCTCTACTGTATCCTTCTGCGATGTGATTTCTCAAGCACACCAGGAAGCCTCACATCAGCATCATGGATACAAGTCATGCAGCTCCACCTTGGCTGTTTGGCCAGAAAGCTTTGTAGCAAAGTGTTCTTGTGTCAGGGCCTTTTCTTAGCAAGTGCAGTTTACCCCTTGGTGCCCTTTTGATTCCGATTCATGTTCGCCCATATGACGGCTGCTGCAAGTTGGGTGGGCTAGCTGCTAGGTGTGGTCACTGTAGTCTTCCTTATAGCACACCTCATGCATACACACCACAGCCATTTGGGCGCACGTAAAAGGTGCGCTTGCTATATCTGAGATTTGCGTCACCCTTGAATACACGTTCCTTCTCCTTTGGTGGTCCTACTTTCCTTTCGTTTGTATGAAGTTAGAGCCTTTACACTCTCTCTCTCTCTCTCTGAGTAGGAATTGTGCGCCTAGACAATCAGCGCCCTTGTTCTTGGAACGAATCTTTTGTTGCGCTGTATTGAGTTGGTTCTTCATACTTGAACATACAATTCGGCCGTCGGCGAAAATTCCTTAAGTGCTTCGTGGTCAATGGAACATACATTCTGTTTGGATATTGAACTTGTTTGCGCAACTTTGTGCCTAGGTTTTGCGATTGCGTTTCACAATTTTTGTGTTGCTGGAAAATGTTTTCGACATGTAAAAGCTGCTTGATTGGCACTGTGTTTCTGGCATTGTTCGCGCATACGTCATGCGGGCACATGTACAGTACATACATCCGCTTCTTAGATCAGATGTACTTTTCTGCTTAGTTTTGAAAAACATCCTCTTTACTTGTCAATATTCGCTTGGTTTGCCTGCTTTTGTGTAGACTATGCGCTTGCGTGTCCAAATGTGTGGCTTGCCTGGTGCCAGAACTTAAAGCATGGTCCCTCTGACAACTGCGTTCATTGTACCTTTCGTGTACTGTATAAACCTTCGTCCTCAGCTGCATTTTCTGTCTGCATTGGTGATCAGATTTTGCTGTCGTTTGTATACAGTTCTGTCACTTTCATTCTTTGTCCGAATAGAACATAGGCGCCTATGTGTATGTGTATACACCCCTCTTTGGTGCGAATCTTTTCTTGCTCTGTATTGAAATGGGTTCTTCAGACGTTCACACCATGCGCAGACACTTGAGCACTTTGACATACAGTTCGACCATCGCCAAACATTCCTTAAGTTCTTCGTGGTCCATGGAACATACAATTTGCTTGGATATTGAACGTGTTGGTGTAACTTACTATATCTTTTTGGATTGGATTTCTTGTCTTGTGTTTTTATAAAAATTGCAATCGATATTCGATACGTGAACATACAATGCAACGAACAACGCTCGCAGAAGGATGCTTTGCTATTGGGGTTGTCAACTCGGTTAATTAGAGCATTTGTTGAAACATTCTTATTGTTGAATGAGGCTAGACCATGATTCAAACTTATTTGTAAGTTGTAAGTTGTGACTGACCGTCTGTTCTTACTGTGTAGTATCCTGTTACTGTACGGGATCCAACAGCACTTGTCTCCTCGATTCGATTGTCACCCGTAGTCAGTTGCACGCTGCGTGCTGCGGCCGATATTGGCATATACATTTTTGTTGGCATTGCATTTCTCAGCCAGTCCATCACATATTTGCATAGGCCTAGAAACGTGGGATTGTCAGTGACAAGGAGAGTTGAAGCAGATGTGGACCATACAATCGTCGCACCTTCGACACTATAAAAATATAAAGACTGGCTGTGGACCAGCATCTCAGCAGGATAGGGAGCACCAGGAGTTACCACTTGTGACGAAAAACCAACAACATACGAGAAATCACCACCTGCGATTCTTACTCAATGAGGCAGGCAAGATGTCCCCTATCGTTTTCATGCCAGTGTTTCTTCGGCCACCATTCTCGCAGCGCAGGTACAGCACTTGCAGAAGCTAGACGCGAAAGGAAACAGCGTGAGCGGGCCGAGTTTCAGCCAATTGCAGCAATGTTCAAGTCACTGGCTGATACTTGGCAACTATCAATATGTATATATATATATCTACTTGGTTTGTCAAGAGGAATTCTTTTACTGGAGCTGTTTGCTTTGTGTAAGGAGACGATTGTGAGGGCAAAGCTTTTCTTTTTTGGAAGGCCTTTAGAAGGGCGTGAACTTTCGCCCAAACTGTTTTCGTTTCTTTTAATTAAAGTCTTTGGAGAGTCTTTGGGCACCTCACTGTAACAGTGCGCAAGTCCTGGCCTAGCTGCGTATTCTAGTGCCCATCACCACTAGGCCACATGTATTTAACATGTATTCTAAACGTTGTCTCTTGGGACATGAACAGTAAATTTGCCAGGGAGAACACGACCTTCAAATCCATTCTAGCACCAGTCATCACCCTGTCCATCGCGACACGTGTCTACCATGAAGCCAAGATGTTTCATGCATGTTGTTTGAAGCTGTGATGTGAAGGACACCAACGACATGTGAAAACATGCGTTTGCCTTTTGTTCAAAGATTTCTCCAGGACTCCAGGAGTTTGCAACATGAGGTCTACAATGGGATTGAATCTAGAATCAAACTACAGACTTTGGTAACCAAGTTTTCCGAGTTGCTATCTGATCAACGCCAAAACTGGCCCTGTGTTGCTTATTTGCATGTGCTTTCATACCGCTGCTGGCTCCAACTCAACGGTCCCTGTCACTCCAACGCCAGAAATGAATGCTGAGTTGAAGGACAAGAACCGAAGGGGCCTTCCCTTCCTTTCTTCTTTTATGTTCACTCGCGAGAAAGCCAGTACTCTTCACCGCTCTGTGCGAAGCATTGCCAAGCACTCAAGTCTGATCTGAGCATCTGAGCTTTGTCCCACCTCGCAAGAAATGTTGCCTGGCTTCTGGGTGTTCCACCAGCGTTTGATGGTATTGGCAGCATTGGCCATTGTGCCTCCGATCTACAGAAGTTGAATGACATTCACACCATCTCTCTAATTGAAACTTTTGGTAAATCTTGTCCAGGCTTGTGATGCTGCCAGTAGTAGACAGGTGAACGGGACATGTTTGAAGAAGTGTGATCTTTGCAAGTGAGAAGGATGGAGGAGGATTTCTGCAACGAGGTTCCATGTTTCCGGCTTTTGAGGAAATCAGAGCGCCGGTGGGTAGTCTTGAAATGCACCCAAGCTCCTCAACGGAGTATCCAGTACAGAAAGGACCACAGGATGGTGAAGTTTGGCCAGGAACATTCATAGAGAACGAGCATATTCTATGTGTCTTTGGTCAGGAACAACAGAAAACACGTTTGACGCGTCCTCTTCCTACAGTGCACTGCCTAAGGAGAGAGCTGCCAGTTCTGAATGCGATGAGCTCTGTTCCTTGGACTGGTCATGGCACAAGGAAGCAAAGCGGAGCGAGCGATGAGTGCTCGGCGAGCTTGAAACACATGTATATACTATTACTGTAAGGTCTGTTGAATGTTGTTGTTCAGTATGTATCTATTTTGTAACAACGGTGTGGATAACGGATAATGCATTTTTTACTTGTTCTGTAAGTGTGTGCACGCATCCGGCTCCCCAGCAACGTGCCGCGCTTACCATTGCGTTTCCCAATTGCGTTTCCCAATGGCACGGAGCCACGCAAACACACTGCCACCAAGGCCGCGTGGCGCAGCGACGTCGCACACGTAATTTTGCCACGCGGTGTACGACAGACTGGATACAACAGTGTCGCAATATGTAACACCCAGCCTCGTGGACGCAGCCAGGCAGCCCGCTTTTTAGCGACGTGCCAGTTTTTCGTTTCCCAATGGCATACTTTGCTTCACCCAGGCCGCGCAAAACCGCATGGCGCAGCGACATTGCAGACGTAATGTCGCTGCACGGTGTGTGCCACACAGTTACACACTTTGGCAACTTCCCCCTTCATTTTCCATTTTCGGCGACAGCTGCACTCTTTCGCAACTTCCCTTTTTGTTTTCGACGACAGTTACAGTTACACACTTCTCTTCGACGACAGTTATTCCCCAAACAGTGTGGTCACACTAGGGGTTCTTACGGTAATAGAAAAGCATGTGTGCTTAGATCGCTGTTCCGCGCGGCCGTGTCCGGCTAATTCGTTGCTATGTACAGCACACTCTGCCTCTCGACATCGTCAATGTGCATTTCAACTGCGCAGGCTCGCTGAATCTGGGGGCTGGCGGCGGGTGCTTCTAGCGATTGTGCTCTCATTGTGGTGCCGTGCGCATTTTGGTACATGGTGGTCACTTTTCGTGGCAGGTGCAAGGGAAACCTCGTGTTTTGGTGCTCCAAAGTCGACTTTTGATCGGAGCTGTTTTACTTCGAAGTGCAGTTTTCGCGGCAGGTGCAGCACTTTGGTCGAAGAGCTTGGATTTCGTGACAGATGCAGTGAATCGTGACTTTTGGACATGTGGCTCGCTTGCAGATTTCGTGGCAGGCACAGCGTTTGGTGAACCTCGAAGTGCAAATTTCGTGGCAGGCGCAGCGCTTGGTGAACCTTGAAGTGCAGATTTCGTGGCAGGCGCAGCACTTGGTGAACCTCGACGTGCAGAGTTAGCACTTTGTGAACCTCGACGCGCAGAGTTCGTGACAGGCACAGCGCTTGGTGAACCTTGATGCGCAGAGTTCGTGACAGGCACAGCATCCTGGTGTGGTTCCACCCAGGTGCGCTCTGGTCACTGCGGGCAACCCGCTCACTAGTATTCATAAGCATTCTTCCTTTCACTCAGGCTTGCGTTCATTGTCGCACCCTCGCTCATTCTCACTCGCTCACTGATTCGCTCACTTGCTGCGTTTTCTGGCGCTTGTGTTCTCAGATGTGTGATCGTCTAGCTTGCAGATCTGCTTTCTGTCTTCTTACGCTGACAACGTCCACTCTAACTCTGACTTTCTCGCTCTCACTCGCACTCACACGCCCAGGTTCACTCTCACTCACATGTGCAGATTTCGTGGCAGGCGCAGCACTTGGTGAACCTCGTGCAGATTTCGTGGCAGGCGCAGCGCTTGTGGTGAACCTCGACGCGCAGATTTCGTGGCAGGCCGCCTGGCAGGCACAGCGCTTTGTGAACTTCGACGCGCAGAGTTCGTGACAGGCACAGCGCTTTGTGAACCTCGATGCGCAGAGTTCGTGACTCACTAGTATTCGTAAGCATTCTTCCTTTCACTCGGGCTTGCATTCATTGTCACACTCTCGCTCATTCTCACTCGCTCACTGATTCGCTCACTTGCTGCGTGTTCTGGCGCTTGTGTTCTCAGATGTGTGATCGTCTAGCTTGCAGATCTGCTTTCTGTCTTCTTACGCTGACAACGTCCACTCTCACTCTGACTCCCTCGCTCTCACTCGCACTCACAACGCCCAGGTTCACTCTCACTCGCATGGCTTCTCATTCTCACTCACGCTCGCATTCACGGGCTCATTCATGATTCTGATCACTCACGTGCTGCGTGGTCTGGTGACCGTGATCTCAGATGTGTGCTTTTTTGACTTCTGTAGACACCTGAAACTCTAGCTTGTTGTCATGTGTGTGCGCTCTTCTTTAGACTCTTGTTTCTAGAGCGATCTGTCGCGGTTACGCCCAGCTATTCTTCTGGCGTGGTTCCACCCAGGTACTTTCGGCAGAGCTTGGTTTCTTTCTAGAGCGATCTCTACTTGTGTAGGCTTTTTTTCCCCAAACGGTGTGGACACACTTGGGTTCTTACGGTAGGGGAAAAGCAGGTGTGCTTAGATAGGTGTGCCGCGCGGCCGTGTTCGTTGCTATTTACAGTACATTCATGCCTCTCCACATCGTCAATTCACAAAGTCTGGGTGAACCGGGCGGGTGCTTCTAACGACTGGGCTCTCGTTGTAGTGTCGCGCGCATTTCCGCGCATGATGGTCACTTTTCGTGGCAGGCGCAAGGGAAACCTATGGAAACCTCGTGTTTTCGTGCTTCAAGGTCTTTTCGTGACAGGTGCAAGGGATCGGGGCTGTTTTTCTTCGAAATGCATTTTCGTGGCAGGCGCAGCGCTTTGGACATGGCCATGAGTGGTGGTGATCGTCAGCGCCGTGACTTTTGGACATGTGGCTCGCTTGCAGATTTCGTGGCAGGCGTAGCGCTTGGTGAACCTTGAAGTGCAGATTTCGTGGCAGGCGCAGCACTTGAAAAACCTCGAAGTGTAGATTATTTCGGGCAGGTACAGCACTTTGTCAACCTCGAAGTGCAGATTTCGTGGCAGGCGCAGCACACTTGGTGAACCTCGAAGTGTAGATTTCGTGGCAGTTACAGCGCTTTGTGAACCTCGACGCGCAGAGTTCGTGACAGGCACAGCGCTTGGTGAACCTCGATGCGCAGAGTTCGTGACAGGCGCAGCACTTTGTGAACCTCGAAGCGCAGAGTTTGGCGCAGGCGCAGCCCTTTGTGCCCTGAGATGCTCACTCTCACACCCGCGCTCTCACTCACTCACAAAGGCTCACACTCACACCCACTCACACTCACTCACACTCACACTCACTGACTCACTGACTCACTGACTCTCTCACACTCTCACACTCTCACTCACTCACTCACTCACTCAGTCACTCACTCAGTCACTCACTCACTCACTCACTCACTCGCCCACTCACTCACTCACCCACCCACCCACCCACTCACTCACTCACTCACTCAGTCACTCAGTCACTCAGTCACTCAGTCACTCAGTCACTCAGTCACAGTCACTCACTCACTCACGCACTCGCTCACTCACTCACTCACTCACTCACTCAGTCACTCATTCACTCACGCGCGCGCGCGCGCGCGCACGCACGCACGCGCGCACGCACGCACGGCACGGCGCGGCACGGCGCGGCACGGCACGGCGCGCCATGGCACGCCATGGCACGCCACGGCCCGTCACGCCGCGGCACGCCACGCCAGGCCACGCCACGCCGCAGAGGGTCACGTTTCGCAAGTTCTCGCACGCCAGGATGTCGGCTAAGGAAGAATAGATAGAAAGCGCCGAGATGTCAGAAACACGCGCGAACCCAGATTTGCCATAGCAAAACGATGTAATGCAAGTTGGCCAGCGAAAGTTACACGCACTATTTTGCAGGTGTGCTTAACGAAGCAAAGCCCCAGTGACAATTACCATGTTGCAGATGTGTTTGCTGAAGCGAGACCCTCGCGAAAATTACATTAGCTACTTTGCAGGTGTGTTTACTGAAGCAAGACCCCTGCGAAGATTACATTAGCTATTTCGAGGTTGTGCTTACTGAAGTAAGAGCTCAGCGAAAGTTAGTGCATCGTATTTACCCAGCAACACAAAGATCTACCCCTTGCGCCGCTGTGCATCTACATTGGCAACTCCAGGAATGCATCTCACGCAGTAGCAAGCTATAGGTGTGCTTGTGGCAGACATGCAAACAACAGATGTACAAGTCTTACGTGTGGTACTTGCACATCTAAAGGAGCAACTGTAATACAACCAGATCGGTAATGCCAACCCTTTTTGTAGAAGAACCCTTCGCAGACCACCAAAAACACACGCACACATATTATATCAGAAATTATAAGTTCAGATTGCAAATAGATCTGCATCATATGTTCTTCATACACATATATATATATACACATTTGTTAGTGATTGCTTCATTAGATTGCATTTGCTTTGCATTTTCAGGTAAAATTTTCATCCCTGAGAGCAAACCACTTCAGTCACGAAGTGGCAGCGAGCCTTGGACACATGCTGGGGTGATATGGGGTGTGGATTTGATTGGTGAACAACTGGTGCTGTTCACAGCGGGTATGTTCACAGCGGGTACTCTTAGCTGGCGCCATCCCGACCTATTACACGGTGTGAGTTAGCAATTCAATATGTCCTTTTCACGGGTGAAAGACGACCGCTATGGATTTATGACAAAACTGCTCAGACACAAAAGCCATATGCCTTTGACTCGCCTGAAGCCAAAATTCAACCACCTGTTGCCAAATCTTTGGAACACCAAGCTTCTACATCAAGAGCCATTGTTTGTTATCTAGAGAATACCTTCCAATGCGAATTATTCCCTAGATACAAAAGGAATCCTGTGCTTCATCTTTGGTCAGGCTGGGTTTTCATCGTAGTCTCGTAGGTGGCATGGCTTCACGCCCTACCTTGCCAAATGCAGACCAAGTCATTAAGTTTCTCAGTGATTACTCATCACTGCCTGGCCAACCTTACCCGTTAAATGTTCGTTTGCCAATCGCACCGGTTTCAGACTACGCAAGATCAGTTTTAGATCTACCTTCTGAACCGGAGTTTCGTTTATACCAGAAAGCGCGCAAATACATTCGCAATAAGAAACGCATTTTTGATATACCACTTAGATGCCTTCGTAGCTTAATTCACTTTTGCTTCTTCCTGTGTATTAAACCGCGAAGTTGCATAGGGTGGTTCTTTGTTTCACTGCACGTTTTTGTTCCACCCCACCTATGTGGAAGGGCTTTCACGACGGGAGACATGTCCGCAAGTTGTGTGTGGTAGTGTGTTTCAAGTTGAGCCTGCAGAATGAGGATTGGCATGTACTCAGCTGAAGAAACCTTTGCAGAAGCCAACAGTGTCCTGCCCAGACGCGATCTTTGGGAAGACACTTGTAACTGGCAAGGTTTTTATTGGACTGATGAAATCAAATGAATGCCATTGTCCTTCAGGCTTTAGCGTGGTGGAAGTCACAGTCGGCACAGGCAAGCTATAAATCAAGAGGTGGCTTGATCACTTGACCTCGACTAGACTCGCTGTTCGACCAACTTTCCAATAGTTTCAAAGCCTAGAAAATATTGTTGGTGAACCATGCCTACAAAGGTTCAATAACAAGATTGATTACTTTACTGGTATAAGTTCAATGGCACCTCAGTACAGACGACATCCACAAGGGTTACAGCTCGGCTGAAGAAGCAGAAACTTGGGTTTGTCGCAGGTTTGATGGAATACTTTGCCTTTGACTGGTATGAAAATCTGCAAGAAGACAGACGCCCATGGGTCAGGGAGCTCTGCATATTTTCGGCACATGTACTTCGAAGTCTTGCAGGATATGTTGAAGGAGCAATGTAATCAATCATATGATCAAATCGGAAATTGTCTTCAAAAGTCTTCACATCAAGCTGTGTTTGAGGCAATGCAGCTAGCATTGCTGGCAGAATGTAACGCAAAACGACGAAGCGAACGCCCGGCATGCTTGCACTATCCACATAGGTCATAAATATATCTAAAACTACATGTAAGTGGTCTAGGAAAAGTCAACTATGGCTTGTTTGCAACGTGGCTTTGTAGGGGCCAAATTAGTCAAGGAACCTCACACAGAGCACGATAAGAGTAGAGGCCAGTAGAGGCCACAAAGAAATGTTCGATGTAAGGACAGAATGAGAGGGACGCACACAGACAAGGCACACGCATGTGAAAGCCAGCCCAACCTAAACCCGAAGAGTCAACCTGGCTGGTTAACCGTCCCGCTTAGGTCTATTGAATCTGTGGCATCACAAAAGCCCCTCCAAATTTCGTTTACATTCAGGTGCACAAAACGAGAAGTGTACCTGTTCCAGTCAGGTGAACTTGCCATTCGATGAACATCGTTTGGCTCAAGGTTGCGCGGAGAAAAGGATCCGTGCATCACGACACACACCCAACCTTCCCTAGGTTATGAGCCCAACCTGCTGATGGGTTGTGGCTGGCTCACTTGTGGTGAGTTGCTGGTCCCCATGGAGCAACACCAAAGACGCAAGCAGCAGCGTTCGAGAGAGCGAAAAGAAGAGGCTGCTGCAAAGGAAGCTGCCGCTGCCAAACCTCAGCTGGAGGTTGGAGTCGTTGACCGAAAGCTCGACGCCTTGATCGAAGAGGAGCTTCGCTCGAGGGCCAAGTCGGCGCCGGCATCGTCGTCCACGGCAGAAGTGAAACGTTTGGGAGCTTCCACTGCGGAATCGTTGAGGCCACCGCAAGGACCGCCTGTGACTTACCACCCTCAACATCCTGCACAAGACCAAGTACACCAGCTGGTGATGGATCCTAGGGGACAGTCCATGGGTTTGGGGCATCTCCAAGAAGCGGTGCGCCGCTCGTTTGACGTTCTGCAGAACGCACTTCGGGGACCCCACAGGTCCAACACTACTTGATCCACTCCTTCGCTAGGGACTTTCTCATGTACACGATCATGGAGGTCTTCCAGGGCAAGCGTTGGCGGCTGGAGGCCCGGTCAGGGAAGTGAGATCTGATCGGGATGGATCCATGGTTTCTCCAATGATGGGATCGGTGGGCCGCGAAGCTCTCCATCCACGAACGCTGGATCCCTATGCGGCGGCAACTCCGGTGGGGCCTCTCAGCACTGTGAATCCGTTTTGGAGCACTTCACTGCAACAAGCTGCAAAAGGTGAAGGGCATGTTCGTATGGCTGAAAGCAGTGGAAAGAAAGCTGCGCCTTCCAGTCCCGGAGCTGGCGATGTCGAGAAGATCCGAGCTCAGATCCTGCGAAAGGCGGAGGACAAGTTCGCTCGTGAAGTCAAAAAGCTGACTGATGCTGGAGGAGTGGGTGACGCTTCTTCCTATGCTTCAGCGGCGAGCGCTGGTTCGGGTGACGGTGGCCGCGCTCTACCTGAACGTCCTGGACTACCTCCTGGTGATCCATTGGGCGCGGGAGTTCCGCCTGGCGCCAAGACGGATTTTCCTCCAGGTCTTCATGCTGGACGACCTCAAGGTGACTCGACACTGCCTCCGGTGATTCCGGAAATCGTGAGTCAGGAGGTTGGATCTTCCGAGCTTGCCTCATCCCTCATCTGAAGGAGCTGCTCTTCAGTATGGAGATTGGTTGACTGTGACCTATCCGCTGATGGCTGACCTTTCGGCGACTTCGTGGTGGGGGGGATGCCTGGCTGCAGCAGGTGAACTCTATGAGAAGTGGCCGACTGCCAATTGTTTGGAGCGCCTTCGCTTGCGCCCTGTGGAGAACACCGACCCACCAACCTGTTGAACAGCGTGGTGTATCGCTCCTCCTGAGCATCTAGAGACATCATCGCCAACAGAAAGGTCACCACTGTGAGCATCCTCGTTCGACTTCATGTACTTTTTCAACCAGGTGGCGGGGCTGAGAGGACCACGCTGCTGAAATGTTTGACTGACGTGAAGGCGTCCAACAACATCCAGGACTGGAGACGATGGCTCCAACGAGCTGCGTGAAGAACTGCGACAGCCCCTGCCTGATCCGATCATCCTCGTCGTTCAGGTGTTGGGGAAGTTGGGAGGCAGTCAAGTTGCCTACCGGTGTCATCGGTGAGGCAGGATTTGGCGGTGGGTTTGAGGCCTGATCTTCAGTCCATCAAAGACCTCGAACACTTGACACATGTGGCTTTGCACACTCCTGGGACGGGTTGGATCGTCAGCAGAGATGTTTCTTCTGTTCGGGAGAAGGTCACATGATGAAGGATTGTCCCCACCGTCAACAGAAGGGAACCAAAGACTTCAAAAAGAATGCCAAGGTAAAGGGCACTGCTGAGGACATGTCGAAGGACAGTCCTACCAAGGAAACACAACAACAGAAATCTGAGGCTTCGGGAACTACATCGAGTTCATCGCTCTTGTCATCGCCTACGGTGTCTGGAGGTGGATCGGGGAGGATTGGTGGTGGAAGGAGTTGGGGGGTGACCAAAAGTCAAAGCAGGGCTATGAAAGCGGTTCGCCTGAAGCAGATCTGCGTGGAGACTGGCTTTCAAGGTTTTGCACTCCTCGAATGGCACACCCTGATGAACGGGGTGAAAATGATTCCAATTGAAGTCGAACTTGCTCAAGGTACGACAGTTTTGTACCGCCATCCCAAGCACCGCACCCTTTTGTCCTTGGAAGAGGTGGAGCCGATCATCCCTTTCAGGCTTTTGGTGGAACGGGGCTGCAAGGTGGAGTGGCGAAAGACGGGTTGCAGTATCCGTCGCCCAACTCTCGGTGCGATTGACTGCTGGCTTCGAAATGGATGCCTCACAATGCACCGTCAACCTGCTTTGGACATGCTCTCCCAGATCGAGCTCGAGGATCAGGGGAGGTGGCGCTCTCTGATGAGGACTGGAGGTGCGTTGAATTTCCTGAACTACCACATCCAGTTCTTCAACACATGGCTGGTCAGAGCCAAGACCCAAAAACTATGCCCTGGAACCGACGAATTCGAAGCAAGGCGATGGCTGTGATGATCGTCCAGCCGTCGAACCTCGGTGACCGCATTCGCACTTCGAAGGCCTGGGCTGCATGGGCTCCAGGCCTTGTGGCTGCGATTCAAGAAGCTTTGAGGAGGTTGTTTGGCGTTTTGGAGGAGGAAAAGGGGGGCTGGAGATTGTCACCATGTTTCCAAAAGGACCTTGCAGCTTGGCATCGACGCACCAAACAGGGTCACATCCCCTTTCGCGCTGACTGCCGCATTTGTGGGGAAGCTATGGGCTGCGATAAGCCGCGCAAGAGGCTTGGGGGGAGTGCCACGAAGTTCACTATGTCGGCTGACCTTTGTGGGCCCTTTCCTGAAGGAAAAGATTGGGGCACAGGGGTCATTTGCAAGTACGCATTGGTCTCAACTGTGGCTGTCCTCATCATCTCCGAGCTTCCAGGTGAGGTCACTGAGCCCTGCGACACCGCCAAGGATGTGGAGCACACGGAGGAGTTGCCCTGTGAGCCTGAAGACCGTGACCTTGTGCCTGAAGATGAAGTCCGGAGGCTCAATGGAATAGTCGGCTTCTCCATGCCAAGCCTCTCGCAAAGCCGGGTCCACTTCGGCCATAATGTCCATGTGGTCAATCACCTCTGTCTTCAGCTCGGCGCCGCTGATGCCCTCGTGCAACCTCAAGGACATCAAAATGTCACACTGGCTGAAGTGATCCCTGATCGCGCGGTGGAGTCACTGGTCCGTGCCTTGTCCCGCTTGCGCGCCAAGTACCGCGCCCAGGTGTACAGATTGCGCACCGATCGTGAACGATCATTTGCTTCAGTGCCAATCCAAAACTGGTTTGAGCAGCGTCAAATTCGATTGACTATGACAGCTGGTGATGATTCTAAGGCCAATGGCCGCGTTGAAGGAGAAGTGAACCAACTGGATTCTTTGGACTGGTTTTCGTCTTCGGAAGTTGGCAAGTCGCTTTCACTTGGTTTTGAGCCCCGGGGAGTTGGAGGAGGTGAAGGGGGACCACGTGCTCAATGAAAAAGATGAACTTGGTGATGAACTTTTGGACCATGACCTTCAGGGGGAGGTCGAAGATTCAATGTTTTGTGTGCATGGCAGCAAGCCGAAAAATGGCATGAACTTGAACAACAACGGCGCTGGGCACTTAAACAGCTCTGGTGTCAAGGTCTTCGTGAAGTGGCCGTCGGTGAAGATTCTGGCAGCGTCCATGGCAGCTGGCTTCATGAAGTTGAACTACTTCTGAAGGGTGCTGAAGATCAATTGTCGTTCCAGCACTCTGCAATTCAGGACTTCAAGCTGTCAGCTTTTGCTCCAACAATGGGAACTACAGATGCTCCAGCTACAGTGCTTCAGACCTACACGCTCGCGCTTCAACAAGTGCACGAGGAGCTTGAGAAATGGAAGCCTCCACTTCGTGATGAATATGGACAGTTGGTGACCTCAACACAAGCAATAAAACCAACTGCAGAGGAAAATCTTTGCTTGGATCCACGTTTCCCGACGATGAAACTGCCACCTGCGATGCTTGTCCCCACTGTGTCAAAAGTCCCCATGGTCGCCTTCGAGCCAGAGGTGATATGTGGGAACCATCTTGCAAAAGTCAACGAAGCAGCCGGTGACCATGAAGGTGAAACTTCGGCCAAGGAGCAAAGCCCCTTTTCGCTGTATGCGTGTGGAGCGGACGGGACGACTCTTCGTTGCCTCATGCGCTGTGCAGCTGAGAGGTCATGGGCCGTCGGAGCGGTGGACATTAAGACCGCTTTCCTTCTTGCTCCACGACCAGACGAAAAAGAAAGACTTCTCGTCGGTCGCCCTTCAAAGGTGTTGGTCGAAGCTGGAATTTGCGCTCCCACAGAATTGTGTCTCACGCGGTCTACGGGTTGAACGATGCCCCGGCCAACTGGTCTACCTCAACGCTTGTCTGCAGGAGGCCATGACTGGCACCACGGGGAGCGAATCGGTCGAAAAAGAAAAGACTAGATTGGCTAGGGAAGATGAACCTACCGCGCGGGAGGGTTTGGAAGGGTTGGGACCTAGTCTAAATGGCTAGGCTATATACTCCGGCCGCGTCTCGTGCGAGCGTTCAGGTGTTCGGCTGGGGCTGGCTGCGCTGGGTGCGCGCGTCGCGCCGGTGCAGCCGGAAGAGCGGCTTTGGGAATGGTATCCCTTCATGCTGCCACCACAAGGCCGTGACCGCTGGGGCCGTCTTCGATATGGATGGTGGGCGAGGCATCATGTCAGGCCGCGCCAACGACCTTTTCATCCACTGCATCGCATGACGCCGTTCAACGGAGCTCAAATCCGACATCAGCGAGTCACAGTGGTCTGGCATCATGGCAAAAGGCACATTTTCTATGATGACTGAGGAGCGGGATTGGCCCTGTGCTACCTGATCGGGATCAATGGGTGGGATATACCTTTTTTAGAGAGTTGCCGTCCCCGGAAAACAGCCTGGACACACTACAACCTCCACCGATCCGACAACAGGAAGCTCGGGTCCACCGCCAGTGAATGAAAATCCAGATGAACCTCAAGGGCAGGCGGCATTGTCTTCGGTGGCTGAGAATTCCACCGGCACTCCTCGTCCACCCCGGTTGAGCTTTTGAGCGAAGTGCGCTATGTACGACGCGGATCATCTTCATCTATGACCTCGCAGCTGAGTGACTGAGTGAACGGAGTCCTAGTGTGACTGGTTCCTCTGCTGTGGCTCGAGGTCTAGATGCTTATGCCGGCGTGACCCTCGGCTACATGGGCCGACTTGGTGGCTATGCTCTTCGCGGTGAACATCCGCGCCATGTGCCCACAGGTTTGGATGAAGATCAACGACGGCGCCCAGCTTTGAGCACCACCGAGAGCGAGAGTGAAAGAGATTGGAGGAGGAATTTGGATGTGAGCTCAGCGAGCTCTGTTCAGGGCCTGGAGACGACGCTACCTCCTGGACTCCCTCCGGTACATGAACGCTTGGACGAGGCACCGCAATGGATGGGCATTGCGAGCCAACTCCCACTAAGAAGGCCTAGAAGTGATGCACCAGGTCAATATGACCACCTGCTGGATCCGGACTCAGATTCAGATGGCAGCTACGAGCTGTGTGGCGGTTAAGGAACCACCCTTTTCTCAGGTTTGACCATGCGATGGTCACCGGGAGCGTGGCATGACAAAAGCCCCTCCAAACTTCGTTTGCATTCAGGTGCGCAAAACGAGAAGTGTACCTGTTCCACTCAGGTGAACTCGCCATTCGATGAACATCGTTTGGCTTAAGGTCGCGCGGAGAAAAGGATCCGTGCATCACGACACACACCCAACCTTCCCTAGAATCAATTGGAACACAATGTATATAGCTTCAGGGCTCGGCATAGTGTTGTCCCCGCAACATGAGTCTCGAGACGTGCACGCAAGTAAAACTGTGCGTTGCGTAAGATTGCGTAAGGTATGGTGACATTGCAGTGTGCACAGCAGTGTGTAAGCATGATTATGTTACTGTTGAAGGCTTTTTATAATTAGTATATTTTCTTTGCTGTTGCTATTGCAGGATCCGCTTTTGAATCGTGTGCATAGGTATGGTGTTGTGCAGTTTTTTTTCTGTGGCCGTGCGAGGCTTTGCAGCATTGTGCAAGTACGTGGTATCATTTGATATGTGTTTTCCACGGATCTTGCGAGAAATTTTGCCACATAAGCCGCGCGTAAGCAGTGCGGAAACAGTTGTTTTTTTCTCATTTTTTGTTTTGTGCATCCTTGTCCACGATGGTGCCCCAAAAGAAACGATTTGGTGATCTGTCACAGACAGCAGCAAAGGTCGTGCAGAATGTTGCTGACAACTTCCTTATATACCCAATTCATCAAGTTCATCAAGTTTATCGAGTCTTCTCCTTGAAATGCCTTGAATAAAAAGATGTGTGTAAACTGTGGCATGCAAATCAATATAAACAGTTAAGCGTAAGCGAAGCGTAAGCTCTTACACACAAGACTTGCAGCATAGGCAAGAACGGTGAATTGTGGTCGCGTAAACACAGCGTAAGCAATAGCGTAAGCAGACTCTTACGACCACGAATTTGATCAGGCCTGTTGGTCCACTGGTTCACCCCTGCCTCACGCCTAGTGACTAGTGGCTTGTTTCAGATTCTTGGTTTTGGGGATTTTGGAGGTGTTGGAATGTGCCTTGTGCTTGAAAGTGGGAGGAGTGGAAGACTTTGACGAACCCCAGCTCGCAGGAAGTCAGCGTGGAAGATGTCTCGAAGTCAACTTCCGTCCACTGGCTGCGGTTTGTCAGCGCACAGTGCACTTACTGTTAGCAAAACTCCATAACCTGACCACCAAAAAACTTCAAACCAGGACAACTGTGGCTCCGTTTACGAAGAGTTACCATTCGTGGGCCAGCAGCTCCGACTGGTCAGTTCCTTTTCCCTTTTCATGTGGCTTCGGTCCTGCACTCCGTGGCACGAGTGTTTCAAAGAATCCGAGAGTTTCTCCAAACAGTGCTCCACAAGTGTCTCACAAGAGTGCGTCACAGAGTTTCTTACCAAAGCGTCCTGCAAGAATGCCTTGCGGCAAAAGCGTCTTACAAAACTGTCACTCGAGAACTCGCGCTGCACAAGACTGCTTTGCAAGAGTGTCCCAAATAATTGTCTTACACAAGTGTATTGCAAGAATGTTTGGCCAGCCAGAGTCAGAGTGTCTTACACACATGTCTCGATCATCTTACAAGAGTGCATAGCAAGAGTGTCTAACAGAAGCTTGTTACACAAATGTGTTACCATGTCTCACGACAACCCATTCAACAGTGCTTTATAAGAGTGTTTGCAAAGGTGTCTGACAAGAGTGTACCCAAAAGTGTTCTCGCAAGTTTGTTGCTGTCTCAGAACTCTCACGCATATATATAATGTCTTATGACTGCTCCACAAAAGTGTGCTAGAAGAGTGTCACGCAAAGAACATGTTTCAGTGGTGTGTTGGCGCTGCCGGACCATATGCTCGAGCGCTCCTAGGAAGCACGATTTGCTGTGTCCGCTTGTTGCATGTGGGTTCGTGGAGTTTACAGTATTTGCAATTGCTCTGTGCGTTTGCAGATAGAAAGCAATTCATGTGCTTTACGTTTTGTTTTTTCCTGCCGTCAGGCTGGCGACCGCTACAACTCACCACCCGACGCAAATCCCAACCAGACCAACTTAATGAGAAGAGAACATCACAAGAAGAACAACAGCAAACACTAATGAAACAGTCTGCAACATCAAGTCGTGCATTGCAAATCAGCACATCTCCTTGCAATTCGCCGCCAACAAAAAATCATCACAGATCAGGATACCAAGGTCCAAATGACAGACAAAATCATTACGCTGGACAAATGACAGACCAGTACGCAGCGCTTTCTACGGACACTTCATTGCGTTAATTCTGAGCGCAGGGGTCTGTGGGTGGGCTTTCATGTGTTGCCACTGCCAGAAAGGTTTCCTATACGCCTATACTGTATAATTATATAAAGGATATGTATCTACGCACAATTTAGATTTCAACGAATATCATGTACCGGCACCCTGCGGGACGAAGCCGATTTGCCAGGCACAATCATTCCTTGGTGCCAGCCCTTAACCTGGACTTGTGCAGAATTTGAACGACATGGCGTTCTGCGACACAGAATAGTATACAATGTTTCAAAATTGTTTGAAACTCCTGTCACAGACTTTGGACTATATAGATTGCATGCACACTTGACGCTTTCAACTTGGCTTTGGCCTGGAGGTCAGAGCGTTGGGGGACCGCAGGCTTCAGCAGCTGAAGCCTACAGGCATGGATTCAGCCAAATATGTTGCCAGTCGCCTGTGATTTTAGAGCCCAGACAGCCCTGTTTGTGGTTTCGTTTTACAAAGGAAGGAAAGTAAAGTGGAAGTTGGATGAGGAAGCGGAAGGAGTTGATTTGGTTGAGTGAACAAAAGGAGGTTGCTCATCCTTTCTGTACTGTGAGAGGAGCGAAACCAAGTGAAACCAACTGCAGCTCCTCAGGTGAGTGACATTTTAACAACTGTGTTTGTTTTGACTGGGTTAAGCCTCCTTGCTGCCCCTTCCCTGCCCTTCCCAGCCTGCACCAAACTTTGATCGACAGCCGCGACAGCGTTGTGTTTTGGTTCCCTCGTCAACTGCTTTCTTTCATGCTGCACGGAATGCTGGCGCAACTACTGGGATGGTGGACTGTACCACCTTTCCCACCAGTGGCCTGATCAGCGAAACCTACCTGCTGTAATGACTGTTCATTTCCTCTTGGCTCATCTCGATTAGAACATGTTGATCAGCCTTTGCATCAGTTGTGCATTCTGCAGACTCGCACTCATCATGAAGATGGTTGGACCTCGCAGCATTTGATACTTGTCTTTCTTTGGCCTTTCTAAGCGATTATATAGGTTTCTTCTGGAACGATCGCTTCAGCCTATGTACTAATTTGAGTGTGTGGAGCAAAAAACATAATAACCACAGTACAGCAACCCTCCACAAGCACAACAGCATGAAAAAGTTTGGTTGGAATAGGTTCGAGCCATAGTGACAACAGCGATGGCGAGCCAAAATGAACTGATGAAGGACTTTGGAAGCCGCGCAAGTAAGCTTCCCAAAGTGACTAGCAAATCAAATGATGAAACGCACGAAGCTTCCAGTTCCAGCTTCAACCCAATCGGGAAAGTCAGCGGAAAGCGACAAGCGATGCTTCCTTCTCAGCCATGTCAACCTTAGTTCCATCACTCCATCACATTCCATCACTATTGATGTTTCCTTGCGGGCACTGCCCACAAGAGTCACAAGACATGCCTTTCAACGGTTGAAGAACGTGCTTTTGAACACCTCCAGCTTTTGCCTACAACCGATCTCCATAAGTTTGTTCGACTGTTCCCAAAATCAAACCAGCGGTTTCAGTTCTTTGTGTCGACGACACTTGACTTGACGATGATTTCCACCTACATGCATACCTACCTACCTACCTCCCTTCCTTACCTGCCTACCTACCTACCTACCTACCTACGGCACGGCGCGGCACGGCACCGCACGGCACCGCACCGCCCTGCCCCGCCGCGCGCTGCACCGCGCCGCACCGCACCGACAGACACATACATACATACATACATACATACATACATACATGCATGGCTCAAGCCACTAGTGCTCAAGCGGGCACCCCTTGAAGACCCGCTAGTGCACAAGGCCCCACTCGAACATAGCTTTGAGTACCAGGCCACAGCGAGCAGGAACAAGTTCCTTTACAACACATTCTTTGCCCGTTATCTCGACCTGATCTTCCCCGCTCTTGAGTCGATCGACGGGAACTGGCAGTGCTCGCTTGGCTTCAACGTGGACAACCACTTGGGGACTGGTGCTACTTCTCACAGGTACTCACTGGCCAGTCCGTGTTCGGTGCGCTGAACCTTGCCCTCACCTAGGACACCTTCCTGAGGGTCATCCTGAACTATGACCACTCAATGGGGAAGGGCCTACATGGTGTGCAAGCACACCTCCTGCTCAAATTGGATCTACACTGACAAGCTCAGACCAGGCACAAAATGCAGTAGATGTGCAACCTGGTGGCCAACCTCTACCAGGACTACCGGAAAAGGCAAGGGCCATGGCAAACCAGCCAACAAAGCAGAGCCAGGACACCGAACCTGGCCTGACCCACCGCCAGGATTGAGCAAGCTGAAGCCACTAAAACGCTCCAAGGTGCAACAGGAGGCCACGGAGTTACTCTCAACAGCATGGACTAGCCTCTCTGAGGACACCCAAACCAAGTTGCAGGCCATAGGCATTGGTCCGACAAAGCCTGAAGAGCCCCAACTTACCTCCACAGGTGCAGGATCTTGTCGCCAAGCCCACAACTCCTCAACTCCTGAGCCCTGCACTGAACGAGAGATTGCAGCCAAACTCAAAGGCCAAGTCAGTGAGCTGAAGAACATGTCCATCAAGAAGACACAGTTGCAGACCAAGATTGACCAGGTCAAATCTCAATATGCTGCTCTCCTCAGTGACATGCAAGAGCTTCAGAGCAAGCTGGCTGATGGTCAAATGACCTTGAAGAATCTCTCGGAGGACTACATGAAAGCGGTCAACCAAACTCCAGCTCCAGAGGATCTCACCAAGCCAAAGGGTGAAGGTGAGCAAATTCCAATGGCAGTTGAATCTTTTGTCCATAGCCTGGGCATCCCCTTGACGGAGGAACAAAAGACCCAGCTCCATGGCCTTTTGAAGAGGCTTGCTCACACTGAAGTTTGACTTCGAGGCAGCCACCAGAGATCCAGTACTTCCCACCACTGCCAAAGGTCCCCGACATCGATTTCCGGCGTGGGCCACCTACTATGAGCTTGAGCTCTATGGAGACCCACCCACTGAACCAGCGCAATACCTACTCCAAGAGCACCCATGGGCAGTTCAGGGCAGAGGAACCAATCTCCAAGCAGTCACCAAACCACTGGTACCCACCAAGTCAGGGCAAACCTGGAAGAAAGGCAAGCCGGCCTTCTGGGAACAGCTCCATTGAGATTCCAGCTCGGCCAAAAACAACCAGACACCCAAACCAAGGGCCCAGTCAAGGGCTTCATGCAGGCCACCAATGACGTTCACAAACATTGGATGGGACCACCAACCTGGGGCCAGTTCATGGACACATGCCACCATTGGCACCGGTACAGGGATCCACATGCTGCAGATCCCTGTTACAAACCATGAGCCACCAGCTTCAAGAGGCACAAAGTGATCTACCGGCATGCAGCGGCCAGGCTGGCAATGATCTTTGCCGCCAAAGACCATTACATCCACCAAAAGGCGCCCAGGCATCAGGGCAAGCAAACAAAGCAATATAAGAAACAGTTGATCACGCAGTGCCACAAGCCATGGACTTCCCCACATCACCGGGTGGGAACCGCACCGCAGTGGATTCCATTGCAGTGCGTGTGGCATACGGGTGCATCAAGCCCCCACGGTGCCGGTCATTGAAGAGAGACTAGGCCCACAGTGTCCGCAGGTGAGCATAGAGGCCGCTCAACCAGACCATCGCAGCCCGCTCAAGCCACTACCCAGAAAGCTCACAAGTGATACGCAACCTCCTTGAGCAGCAGCAGGCGCACCCACCTGCAAAGGACTTTAGTGTTGAAGAGACCAAAGGCTACTTACGATGTGGAAAATGTGGCTGCAGTGTCCACAAGCGCACCAACGTCAATGGGCCCTGCCTCGACCAGCCCTATGCCAAGACACATGAAGGCCATGCCAGCCACAGTTTGTGGCAGAAAGGAGATCGAGTGACCTGTCGTCAATGTGGACTCCAATTGCACCTTGATGCGCAGCAGAGAGTCATCCTGACAGGAGCCCTCAAGAAGATATGCAAAGGTTCTGGCATCAGCGGATCGCCGCCCCTCAGTGAGATTTTGAGGAGGCAGGTTGAGCAAGCCAGTCATCCAGACACCACCGACAGGGCAGAACAAGCAACACCCATGCTGGACACTCCAACTCCGACCAGACCCACAAGTGCAGGGGCACCAGCAGGCCATGATACCCAGCCTTTACTGGTGACTCCAACACAAACCCAAACCCCGGCACCTCCGCTGTCGCCATTGGCGCCCAAAAAGCTCACTTCAGAGGCACTGATGGCTCTGATGCAGAAAGGAGCAGCTCCTCGACTCAGCCAGCACCCAAGCACCAGGCCAGCGCTTAAGATAGGCCAGGACTACACCGACGCACACCTTTCCCGGCCTCCACCTCAGAGAGCGGACAGGCCACAATTAGCCACCTGAAGAGGAAGACCCCACCGACGACGAACCAGTCTACATGGAGGTGGACTTCTTCTAACGCTGCTGGCGGCCTGCTGAGGGCCAAAGCGCCACACGTACATGCAGCAAAAGACACTTTAGGAAAAATACATACATACATACATACATACATACCGGATAATCCTCAAGAAGAAATGGGCGACGCCCCCAGTTGTGTAAGTCGAAAAGCTCAGAGAGGTTTTGATCAACCCATTTTGCAAAGATGAACTAAAGAAATGACCGCAATGTCGCAAGTGGGGTATGCAAAATCTGTGACGGTGCATCTTGACAAACACATAGGCTGAATGTTGCAGACAAAAACATAGGCTGGGCATCGCTTTGGACGATGCAGCCTCTGAGTTGCGCAGGCCTGCAGCCAAGTACACCGAGAGTGCTCAGACTGGTAGTTCGGCCCTCAAGTTGTTCTTCAACGCACCGGTTTGGGCTGGTGAAAGATGCAGTGGACTCCAGTGCACCCCACCAGCAAAGTGACAGAACAGCTTGCTGACTTCTTGTTTGATCTAGCTTCAAGGCTCAGCGATTGAAACGCCCTGTCACCAATACCAAGCCAGAAGCTTGAGGTCAGGAAGTCGTCAGCGGCAGCTCGCAGCCTTACAGGCCTTAACTTGCCAAACATAGAGCATTTTGCATAGTCGCGGATCGATTCATACCCCCTGTTGAACCAGCCCACGTTGCATTTCGCATTACACAAGTGCACAAGTGTTCACATCTTTTAGAAGGATCTAGGCGCTGGGAAGGTCGTTGCAGATCACAGTTGGTTTATACTTTGGTAAAAACCTGTGACCACTGGCCTAGCAGGAAGTGTTTTTGTTGGTTGTTGCTGTTGTTGTTGTCGTCGTCGTCTTCTTCTTGCGCTTAAGGGCAGGCGTGGCGGACGTAGAATCCTTCTAACTAACTAACATCATCTACATGAGTTGCGTGGCGGTTGCGCTCGCCTCGCCGCCGCTGCCGCTCTGCTCAAGTTGGTCCAAAGCGGCTCCGAAGAATTTCTTGAGTTTTGTGTTCGTTCCTTTTGATGTTTGTTACCCCTGTGAGTTGCAGTACAGGAGGTGCACGGCTTGCACCATTGGGCGGTGTGCCCGTAGTAGGCATCATGCCCGTGGACCTGGAAGTAAGACGCGAAGAGTGCTTATCGTGAATGTCCATGTCAGCTCCCTCCCTCGGCGTTGCACAAGAAAAAGAAAAAGAGCTGCCGTTTTGACCATTGTTGTGTTCATGTTGTTGTTTTCCATTGCTCATCGCATTCTCCATTAACAGGCGTCCAAGCAAGTACGCCGAGAATGCGCAAAGCGATGGTCTGGCTCCCAATCTCAATTTGCGCATGTAGACTGTAGACACCTTTTGATGCGCTCTTGACATGTTTGCTAGTCCACCCATTGTGTGCAGTCTGTGACGAGGCCATTTTCATTTCGGGCCTGCTGGACAGCAACCTGCCTGGCAGCCAGGACAGGTGTTGGATGCAAGGTTTGTTCCCCAAACAGTGTGGACACACTAGGGGTTCTTACGCTAAGTGAAAAGCAGCTGTGCTTAGATCGCTTTTCCGCGTGGCCGTGTCCGGTTAATTCGTTGCTATTTACAGTACATTCATGCCTCTCGACATCGTCAATGTGCATTTCGACTGCGCAGGCTCGCTGAATCTGGTGCCTGCGGCGGGTCCTTCTAACGACCGCGCTCTCGTTGTGGCGCCGTGCGCATTTTCGCAAACGGTGATCACTTTTCGTGGCAGGCGCAAGGGAAACCTCGTGTTTTGGTGCTCCAAAGTCGGCTTTTCGTGACAGGCGCAAGGGATCCGAGGTGTTTTAAATCGAAATGCAGTTTTCGTGGCAGGCGCAGCACTTTGGACATGGTGGTGATCGTCGAGGAGCTCAGATTTCGTGACAGGTGCAATGGATCGTGACTTTTGGACATGTCACACGCACTCACACTCTCACTCTTACCCACTCACTCTCATCCACGCTCACTCTCACTCACACTCACTCTCACTCTCATTCACACACTCACTCACGCTCACACGCGCACTCACACTCACTCTCCCTCTCACTCTCGCTCTCACTCACACTCACACGCACACTCGCTCTCGCACTCACTCACCACCACCGTCACCACGATCCCCACCTTCATCACCACCATCACCTCTCTGGACTCCAACGCGTCTAGATCTCTAGACATTCTGCTTATAGACCTCACACACACTGTTTGGGTTCTCTTGCCGGGGTAATTTTTTGAGGTCAGAGATCAAGCGTCATGAGTACTGTCAGTTTTATTTGGCCGCGCAGTGCAGGGACTTGCAATCATCTATCAAAAGTTGCGGAGGGCCGTGGCTCGCTGCCGTCTGGCGCCCGTTTGCGCGCAGAATTAGATGGGGGAAGGCTGTGGCGGGACCAGCCCTTCTGCTAGCTCCATTTGCCTTGGAGTGATTGTTGGCGGTGATAGTGGGTTTTTTGACGATAAACACAAATCAATCAAGTAAACAGGCGGCGGCGTGAGCCATGGATAGTGGCCGTGGATGGCCAGTCTCAAGTATAAAGCCTTTGGGCCGAGATCCGAGATCTCAAAATCCAAGCCAGCAATGTCAGCAATGTCGGATTCCGGAAAGTGCACCGTTAGCGTAAAAAGAAAGTGTTTGGGTTCCAAGAAGGGCCCCTGTGTCCTTTTCGGCCCTGTGAGCGTTCAGAAGTCAGATGTGCCTGAATTCAGATGTGTGATTTCACCCAAAACAACTAGTGAAACTAGTGACTAGCTAGTGGAAATTAACAAGTGCGTGTCCTCTCGCCTCTCAGCTACAGATTCTAGAGCCGTGAGGGACTCGCAGTCTAGCAAATGGCTTTCGTAGAGGTGGGCGACTGTTCAGATTGTTGAGCAAGGTGGCCGTTACCAGGATAAATCTAAAACATTACTTGAACCATACTCTGTATAGAGACCTTGCTTGCCTCAGTTTGTCACGAAAAGGCATTGGAGCTCCTTTGTTGAAGCCAACCCCTGCTGTCCAACTTCTATGGGGTGGAGAAGGGCGTAGAAGGGACTTTCTTCATCACGTCGTGTTCCATTGGGTGTGATCGATCAGCTTGCGTAAAAATGTTCAAAGTGTCAACGCGCAGATGTTACATTATGCCCTGTAGGTCCCAACATCCCTGACAGATGTTAGCATGGCCACCCTGCTGCAAGGATGACGCGCGCTACGTGTGAAGTGTACCGAAACCCTAGTGGCTCGAAGTTCCCAAAAGAGACGCAGTTTGTGAGATGGTAGCGGAGCCCTGGCTTCGGCTGGGGCGATGAAGCTAGCCATCCACGTCCTTTGGCATGCGCTGTTTTTGCAATGGAAGCACTTCATGAAGGATGCCATGCTGGGTGGCCCGCTGGGCATGAAAGCAGCTCAAACAATAGACTGAAGGCTTCGAGGGCACCAATTCGACGAGTCATGATGACATGACTCAGTGCTGGTGGTTCGAGTCCCTGGCAGGTGGTTTGAAGAGAAGCCATGAGTTGAAAGAGAAGTTCATTGGGTTTGAGGCCCTATAGAGAGCAGTTCGATGTGGTTTGAGGCCGACATTGAGGAGAAAGGCGCATGCTTGAAAGCAGAGATCAAGAGGATCAAGGTTGAGCTGCAGAGACGATTTGAAGTGAAGATTGAAGGACGTGAAGATGGCAGATCAATCAGTTTCTGGAATGAGAACTACATGACTGAAGAGCACTACAGAATGGTTCATGGAGTGACCGTGGGCAAGGAGAACCATGGTGGAGTGTGGCTTGCAAAGCCGTTGATGCTTGCTGGTGAGGTTGAAGTGAAGGGGAACCAGATCTTCACCAACGACCCGGCTATGTGCTTTGCTAACGCCGATTATAACATGACGGATATGTGCTCAGCATTCCAGGTGGAGCCTTACGCTGGTTTCATGATGAGTGAGGTCGAGGATGTGTGCCTATGCCTCCTTGGCCATACAGGTGAGTTGATGACTTTTGGCGTGAACTTCATAGCATGGTTGTCTGAGAGTGTACGACGGTTGACAAGCTTGGACAGCTACACGTTGGTACATGCTGCATTGAGCGAGTTGTGGTACAGGACAGGCATTGTTGGGTGCTTGTTGTCGTGGTTTGCAAGTCTTTTTATTGCAAATTGGATGAGCCACTTGAGCTATGTAGCAGGTGAAGAAGGAGTCACACGTGTTGGCAGAAGGCGAAAGGCCAGGTTCAAGCATCGATGGAAGGTGCAACTACAAGCATTGCTGTTCATGAGCTGCGTGTATGTTGGACAAGGCATGCAACAAGGTGAAGAAACATTCCTTCAGAGGATGGCTCAGATGGCTGAAGCCGCAGCCAGTGCGGCGCAAGCAGCTGAGCGTGCAATCAATGTCACGCTGGCCGCAAGCTGCAGCAGTGCAGGAGCAAGTTCCAGTGGTGCATTTCAGACAGGTCTTTCAACGGCAAGCAGAGTGTTGAGGAATGTGTTTGATGGAACTGACCCATATTCATGTGTGACATGGAAGTTCATTTTCACTTCGTGGTTGACATTTGCTGAACCGCAGTATCAACAGCTTTTGGAGAAGGTTGAACAGATGGACCGCATTCCTAGCATGGCTGAGTATACAGATGATGAGAAGCAGCTGTCGACCAGGTTGTTCTCCATCTTGACGAGCTATTTGCGAGGTCGTTGCTTGCAACTTGTTCGTTCAGGTGTTGATGCTCGTGACGGCTTTCGGCTATGGAAGGAGATGCATCGAGAATACCTCCCAAGTTCAAGAGCTCGCAGCTTGGCTCTGGCGCAGGCTTTGGCGGCCTATCCTGCATTCAGCAAGGAGAAGACGGTGGTGGAAAGTGTGCTGAACTATGAGCAGTAGGTTCATGAGTTTGAGAAGATTAGTGGAACCACCTATCCATCTGCAGAGCTCAAATCAGCAAATTTGATTCGATGCAGTGAGAACAGACTTCGAGAACATCTTCAGTTGACCATCAAGGAGTCCACAACGTACACAGAGATTCGTGGAGCAGTCCTTTCCCATGAGCAGGCCAGTAAGACTTGGTCTCAAGAGGCCATCATGAAGTCTTTGACCCTCAAGCCCAATGATGCTCGAGATGAAGCCGTTCCCATGGACGTTGACAGAGTTGAGAAGGGAAAAGGAAAAGGCAAAGAGAAGGGCAAAGGCTGGTGGTCAGGCTTTCCATATGGAGGTAGACGTGGCTATCCTGAAGGCAAAGGCCGAGGTTTCGGCTGAGGAGGAAAGTCAAAAGGGATGATCAGAACCAAGGCCGGATTTGTTTTGGCTTCGGTCACTGGAGTCGTGATTGTCCGCAGCGTGTTCAACAGGTTGAGCAACAGCCTCAGGTGCAGCAACAGCAACGTCAGACTTCAGGTACAACAAGTGTTGCTAGCGGAGGTGCTTCAACAGCTTCAACACTGAACACAGCTGTTCGTCGGATTTTTCACATCGGTCCACCATCTTCGATAGCAGGTAGCTTGAACAGTTCAGTACGAGTGATCATCCAGGACATTACCGAAGAGGGTGAAGCAGATTCATGTCGCAGTGTTGTGATTTTGGACAGTGGTTCAGATGTTTCATTGCTACCCCTTAGTTATGCAACAGACAAGGCCAGTCATTCCAATGTCAGACTTCAAGATTGTCAGGGATCTCAGTTGAAAACTGTTGGATTGCAGGAAGCTACGCTTGTTGCCTATGATTCTGTGACAGGTGAGGAAATTGAGCCCAGGCACAATTTTGTGGTTGGCGACGTGAACAACTGCATTCTTTCATTGGGAGAGCTGTACAAAGCAGGCTGGACAATCGAGCAGCATGGACCCAATCCCATGCTGACATCGCCAGATCAACAGGCTCGCAATTCATTCGCCATAGAGGCCACTGTTTGTCGAGTCTTGAATGTGGTGATAGATGAAGCAACCTGTGAAGTCAGAGCAGTCATTCGGTTGAGCCCAACCTACATCACAGAGATGCCGTATGGACATTGGGACGTGAGCAACAACCATCCACATATGAGAACTGTTGGTGTACACTATGCTGACCCTCGCGCTGTGTGGTCTGCGAATTTCGCCTACAGGTCAACGATGATTCAGAAGGTTGTTGATCCCAACGAAGGCTGGCAGGTTGTGGAAGTGTCACAGCGATTTTTGGAGAAAGATGATCCATTCAGTCGCGTTGAAGAGATTCGCCGAGATGAGCAGTATGTTATTTTGACCATCCTGGCAGACAGAGAGGAGAATTTGAGCACCTTCGGAATGTTGATTGATGGTGAAGAAGTGGTGATGCCAGAATTTCCAATCATGTCGCCATCATTTGTGCCAGGTGGACAGGAAGAAACATTGTTCATTGGGGAGATGCAACTTGCAGAGCGTTCTAGTGTGAAGGATTTGAGAGAAGCTGCCAAATACCTCAAGTTGTCAACTTCAGGTTCCAAATCAAAGTTATTCAATCGCATCAGAGACTCATATGAGTTGGCGTTGAAACGACGTGCATTGGAGGTGGCAAGGCAGGACTATGCTCGCTTGAATCCAGAACCCAGGTTCGTTGATGCACCAGCGCAACCCAGTGAGAGAGAGAGAGAGAAAGTTACATGAAGTCACACACTTGCCATACAAGAGATGGTGTTCATTTTGCGTGGTGGGGAAGAGCAGAGCCAATTTGAAGTATGCAAGTGATCCCAAAGACATTGCTGAGAGAACGCATCCAACGATACAAGTTGACCTTTTCTATCGAACAGCTGGCAATTGTTTGCTTTTGTGTGTGGACACTTGGAGCAAGTACCCTTTCATCAAGCCGCTCAAGAACAAGAACCAAGGTGTCTTAGGAGAAGCAATTGCTGAATTTCTAGCTGATTTAGGTCCTTTTGAGACAGTTGAGATTGCCTACGACAACGGGCCGGCATTGTCGGCAGGTGCACGAATGGCCAAGTTGATCAGGTCGAACAATGGGTTGCGCACCATTTTGCAGCCTGGAAAGTTCTACGAGAAATCTCGTACAGCTTTGGCCGAGAGATGCATTCAAACAGTTCGAGCGCAAGGCAAGACATTGATCTCACACTTGCAAGATAGAGCAAGAGTTGCGCTAGATGAACTGCATGTGCTACAGTCATGATGCATTCATGTTGGTTGTTGAACCGATACCATGTGACAAGTGCAACTGGCATGACGGCTTATCTTTCTGTGAAAGGAAGACCCTAGAAGGGACGTGTTTGCTGTTTTGGAGAAAGTGTTCATGGACTTGATCCTTTGCAAGCAAAGTACAAATCACAGTGGAGGCCCGGGGCATGGCTTGGCAAAGACGCCATGGATCATGACCTTGTTTTGGTTGGGACCAATGAGATAGTGCGCTGCAAAGCTGTGAGGAAGACTGGGGAGCACTGGGATGGTGAATTGCTGGTTGGTGCAACTGTGGGGCCTTGGGACATGAGGCGAGGCGCTCACACCAAGATGGAGACAAAGCCAATCAGTACCCCGGTTCCAGAACTTCTTTCAGATGTTCCCGAGAAGCCTGAGAGAAGCAAGAAGAGTGAGAAAGCAAATGTTGATGTAGATGCTGAAGACGTATTGAAGTATGCTGCTGAACATCCAGATGAAGACCGAGGGATCGGTGAACCCAGAAGCTCAGAGACAGGCGGGGCCGTTGACAAACAACAAGCAACCGCAGATACAGCTGCCGCTGCAGAAACACAACAACAAGCAACCGCAGATCAGCAAGCCACAGCAGAAGCATCAGCAGTTGAAGGCAGTCCGAAGAGAGCGTTGGAAGGCAGTTCACAGCATGAGCGTGCTCAGAAAGGTCGATATGATCATGCCCCATTCAAGAAGAAAGCAACAGAAGAGTTGAGAGAACAGGCCAAGATGGTTCGCTTCGATCCAGAGACTCCAATTACAGAACCAAGTCCAAAGGCATTGAAGACTTCTTCATCTTCAGATGTGAGCACTCGGACAGTTCGCCAGGTGGAGGAACTTGAACTCTATGTGGAGGATGAGCCAGACGCAGAGTGCGAAGAGGTTGAAGGTTATGATTGGAGTGAGGAGTTGGAGAACCATGGTGACACCACTTGGTGGTCTCAGGAGGAATGAAGGTCGAGGACCACCCCAGGTGAGCGACGAGGAGCTGCAGAGCCTAGACCAGCAGGCTATGTTGACAGAGGTGGCGCGTCTTGATGACTTGCAGGTGTTGGCAAATCAAGATGTCAACGAGAGAGTTGAAGACGCTGTCAAGCTCGATACAAGGGTCGTTTTCGATCGGAGGTTTCGAGATTCATGCTGGACAAGGAGAGCTCGGTTGGTCGCCAGAGAGTTTAGAGGTGCTGCTGCATCTTCGATGGAAACATTTAGTCCCACGAGTCCGCTGTCATTCATCAAGCTTTTGCTGTCGATGAGCGTTACAATGAATTTGATGGTTTCTGTCATGGACATTTCAGATGCCTTCTTGCAGGTTGTACAGCGTGAGTTCGTGGTGATTGAGGTGCCAAGCTGGACCGTGAGATTCTGCGTCAGCCAGACTTGATGTACTGGAAGTTGAAGAGGTGCCTACCAGGACAGAGGAATGCCGCGCTAGAATGGAACAAGCATTTTGCTGGTTTTCGCGCTGAATTTCGCTTCCATTCATTCCAAGGTGGAACATTGTTCAAACTTGAGACAGAGAAGCAGTATCTCTCAGTGCACATTGATGACATCATTTTAGTTGCGGAGGAGGCATGCCATTATTTGTTCGTGGAGCATTATTAAACTCAAAGCAGATGGTCCTTACGGAGTTGACAAACCCGGAACTTCTGTACTATCTGAAGAGGAGAATCACCTTTGACAATGAAGGACTTGAGATTGCTGCGAACAAGAAGTATGTGCCCAAATTGAGTTCATTGTTGGGAGTTCAAGAACGCAGAGACAGAGGAGTCCCGATGCATGGCAGTCTAGACATCTACGACGCAAGTGCAACACCGGAGGAGGAATTTCTGATCGCCAAGGATGCTCAGACTTTCAGGTCAGCTCTTGGGATCCTGATCTATTTGAGTCAGGAGGTGGACATTCAGCATGCCACAAGAATCCTGAGTTCCTACATGAGTCGACCTACGGTGACGGCGCTTTCAGCGATTAAAAAGGTTGCCTGCCATTTGCAGGGTACTGCAGACATGGTGCTGAAGTATGAGAGGTCACAAAAATACACGACGGTGTTTAGCCGGTGGAGACACCTAGATGTGGGAGTCAAAGCAAGCAAGAAGCCCCACGTGTTGGAATTGTTTTCTGATTCAGATTGGGCTACTTCGAAGAGGTCGCGGAGGTCAACATCATCAGGCTTCATCTTTCACAATGGGAACTGCATCCATTCCCACAGCAGAGGTCAGATGTCGATAGCGTTGTCGTCGATGGAGGCAGAAGTATTGGCTGCAACAGGACTTTTGGCAGAAGGGATAATGCTCAAGCAGAGTCTTCAATTTCTGCTTGGTTGCCGCCAGGATCCAGGAGATGAAACCACGGTTGAAATGAAGTTGTTCCTGGATTCGACAAGTGCTCAGGCCTTTTTGCAGAGGATTGGACCTGGGAGAGCAAAGCATCTTTGCACCAGGATTCTATGGGGACAAGAAGCAATGAGAAGAGGCTGGTATCGCATTGGCCGCATTGCAAATCCAGCTCCCTGAGTCGAGAAAGGCGAGAGTATTTGGCCAAGCTCATTGGCCTATGGAGCTCAAGTTTCAAGGAGGATTTTGCACCCCGTGTCCAGAGGATCATTCAGGTTCTTCTAGCCGCTGGACTACTCAAGGGATGCAATGATGATGACATGTCAGACAGAACATGTGGAGGAATGAAACAGGTGGTGATGCACAATGCGTGGAGCCTGCGCATTTTGTGTTGGGCAGTCTTTGTCCTCGTGAGCGTGATCGCCGTTTTGGTGTTCAACATGCAGAGGATGCGAACGCAGTTGGCAAAGTACAGATGTGTTTGGAGAGGTGTGAAGAGAGAGAGCTGGCATTGCGAAGACAGGAGAACCCTTTTCTCTTGGCCGAAGGTGAAGGTGAAGAGTCAGCCCATTCAGACAACGATGATGAGGACTATGATGACTACGGTGATGATGAAGGAGACGGGCATGGAAGCTATGACAGCCGCCATGGTACAGATGAAGCGTCAGATAGCAGTTACTTTGAAGGAGGACTTCATTCCCATCTGCATCAATCGACTACAAGAGGCAATGGTGATATGGCCGGTGGGCCAAGTCCGCATCATGATGATGCACATGATGTACCTCCACTAGAGGACGTGGAGGAAACACCTTTGAAAAGGAGGAAGTGTATGCATGAAGGTGTGCGTACGATGGAGAATCCAGAAGAAGATGATGAAGGAGAAGACCAGCAACGACAGCCTTCGAGTTCTTCCAGAGGCTTAGATGCGGATACAGCGCAACAGATGGTTTCAGATTTTGTGGCTGAAGAGCTGAGGCAGTTCTTGAATCCGCAGGATGATGAACCAGAGGTCATTGATGGCTCGCAATGGTTTGTTGTTGGCTCTCAATGAGAACAATGATGGTTTGGGGGCTTGAAGGAGTTCCCATCTTTTCGGAAGACCTTCAGAAGTTGAGGACCAGATTGTTGAATGAAGGTCACGGTCCAGAGGTTTCGTTGACTTTAGCATGTCGTAATTTGAATGACTATATTCGTGAGCTGGAGATGACGCGGGATGTCAGTTTTCGTGATGACATCAGGTCAGGCCGCGACACTTTGCGGTACCTCCAGCATCATCTTGGCATGATGCCCAAAGCTTTTCATGCTGCAGAAATCACTTTCAACAAGTGGATTGAGAGTGGAAGCAGTTTGTCCTTCTTTTCCCACAACGAGACCACCTCAGGGAGTGAATGTGAAGATGAGGTGGCAGGTAATGCCAATGAAGAAGTAAGAGAAGAAAGGCCGCGTGAAGTGAACATTCATGGGCATGCATGGATTGATCGCAACTACACCATGGAAGATGAAGAAGAAGAGGTCATTGTTGATGATGACGAAGGAAACGACGGGTGATGAACTTTGACCTTCACGTGTTCGCTCAATGCACGAGACTTGAAGTTGAATGCTTGAGAGTTGAGAGAGGGTAGGGTTTCACATGGCTGGAATTTAGAATGTGAAATGTAAAGGTAAGCGCTTCTTAAGTTCAGAAGCCCTTAAGGCGGGGTGACAGATGTTAGCATGGCCACCCTGCTGCAAGGATGACACGCGCAACATGTGAAGTGTACCGAAACCCTGGTGGCTCGAAGTTCCCAAAAGAGACGCGATTTGTGAGAATCCCACAGAAAACGTGCTGTGCAACCGAGGAGAAAGATGCAGTTGATCCCCCTGTAACAAACACGACAGGGCTTCTCCTTTGGTGAACAGTTGAAGAACGTGTCTGGATAAATGAAAGGGCTACGGCTACAGCTCAGAATTTTGGTGGAGGGGCCACGTTAGCTGTTTGCAGGAGAATCTCAGCCTCGACGCTTGGAGGCCCTGGAGATCCTAGATAGAACTCAAGACACAAAAAAGGATTGGATAGAGTGATCACAAACAAAGGATTTTGAATGGTTTTGATATATACACATCAAAAAGAGCTTGTTTTGCAAACTGACAGACAATGTCGGAGGCTTTAGATGCGTGGAAAGCAGCATCGTTTGCAGCTGAGATTGTTGATGTCCAACAAACATGTGAGACAACTGAATCGTCAAGAAAGCGTATCACCACAGGTGTATCACGAGTTCATAGTCACAGGTTCACACCCAGTTCTAATTTGGATTAGGCCCCTAACTGGCGATCCAGTCGAACCAGATCTGGAGGACAGGTTGTGATTCTGGAAGACCTTTTATGACCTTTGCCACGGAAAGGTAGCGAAGTTACATGTTCGGCACAGGTATCTATTGCGGTGGCTTGTGACGCAGGGGAGAGGCAGGAGTCCTGTTTGTTTCGCTTCCATTGGCACTAGGCCCTCAACGGGTGCACCACACTCTAAACAAGCGAGGTCCAAAGTTGGAAGTTCTCATTCAAAGGGGAGTAGAATCCAGCAAGGCATGAGTGCTACTATTGTACTATTGGCCCCATGGCCCCATCAGCTCATCAGCCACATCGGCTCCATCGGCCCCATCCACTACAATTGGGTCCAATCTACACGGTTTATCCATTTTCTTCATCGGAAAACTCTGGTGTCCATGCTGCGGCTGGATTTTGTGGCTCGAGGCTCGTGTGTAGTTTTCCATTGTAGTCATGGCAAGGCTGCTTACGAAATGCACTCCATAGGAACCCCCGTGGCCCCTACTCACCTGCGGAAGTGATTTCGAGAAACCGCGAAGTCGTTGAAACTGCACCGTAGCTCGCAGTGGCAGCCAACCGCGCCAACATCCGGTGATTTTGAGAAACCTAAAACCACAGGCCCAGAGCACGCTGTTTGCTGAATGTGAGAGCTTTCGTCAACATACAATATGATGGATAGCAATTCATCATCGCTCCAACAAATCTTTGCTTGCTCATCCAGGCTGAACAGACATTGCAACCACTATATATGCGTCTCCTCATGTCACATGTCAACAAGGGTTCATGACAACCCGACAACCCTGTTTCGTGAGACCGTTTGCCAACTCCTGCTGTCCGTTTGTTGTATACCCATCTCAACTCGAGTCATGCTTATCCATTGCGCTCTTTAATGCCCGCCAGTTCAATAGCTGCTCTTTTCTCTTCCATTTGCAGCCCTGTGCTCTCAACACGTGCAAGACCATCGCAAGTGTTCCTAGCATCAACAATCGTACCACTCTTAAACATGCCCAAATATTCATCAGATTCTCGAAGGTCCAACTTTTGTGACCTTATGCAACATGTCAACCAAGGCCAGCTAGGAAAACTCGTGGCAATCCAATGCATTTTGCATTGATCTGCGCTTCAGCGCTTGTACTGGATTAAGCAGTCGTTATAAGTCGTCTACTGGAGCAGCCCAAAGCACAGAAGGAGTGTTCTCACCCACCAACATGCCCTTTGCAAAGACTGTCCATGTCGGTCTTGACTTGTTATAGGTCGCGCAAAGGCGTGGAAGGCAGCTAGAAAGGACTTGAACGTTCAACTCTGCTAGGTTTGGGAAGGGCATAGACTTGAAGAGCATGACGAGCACCACGTGGGACGAATGAGGCATATTCCATGGCCATTCCACCCTGGAACCTGAGCCCTGGGCACCGTAGGTGCGGTGATCGGACTTCCGCTTTGGAACCCTGGGACTGCCACCTTGGAGTACAATTTCGCAGGATGACCTAGGAGGCGTAAAGCCAAGTTTGGCTTGCCATCAGCCTGCTTGCAAGAAACCATGCGAGGCTATCTGAAGAGAATCTTGACATCGTACAATTCTGAGCCACGTGTTGTTGCAAGGATTTTGGTCCTTTGGGTTTATGTCACACTAGTTGCAACTTGGCCACGGAGCCGCGTCTGGCAGGCTTTGTTGGCAGATTGGTGTGCGGTGAACCCCGGCCCTCTCGGATCCTGTCTTCCCCCGAAACAGAACTGTCCCAAGTTACTGGCTGACGTGCTTGACAAGACCTTGCTCTGTAACTTCTTTGGTGCACTCCCCCTGCTGGCGTTGTGGCGGATGATATGTGTTTAAGCCGAGCTGAGTCTCGTGTCCTGGATGTATCGAAAGTTTTTTGTGCGTTCGGAACTGCCAGGGCAGCAAATTGCGACGGATTGAGAGCTCTTGCCTTAGAACTTTAGACAAGCGCCTTTGCTCAGCTTTCACTCAGTGCCTCCATATACTCTTGGCTGGGAAGGATGAGATGCTGCAGACTCTGCTGACACCAGATTCAGGCCCAAACAAGCTTTAAGACTTTAAGAGGTGTGCACAGCGCAGTCCATGTTGTCATACTCCAGACGCAGGAAGTGACCAAGAAGCAACACAAAGTTAAGACATATGCATTTTTATGCCAATTCATGCATTCAGATTTCTACACGAGCTTGGCTGACAATGGGATGAAGTTGGATCTTTCACACTTCGCGCCGCCAGTCGCTCAGACAATCCAACTGGCTGTTCAGTGACCCACCACTTGGCGGGGTCGGTAGGTTCCTTGTGAAGGCACTACTCATTATATGAAGGTAATGAGCCTGCTTTGGCTTCTTTGTTTCAGGCCTCACGTCATCAAGGTGCTGTCGGAGTGTCCATCTCTTCAGCGCATTGAGGATGCAGCGCTTGCCTTTGACATCCTTTGACTATGGTCCAGACAGGTGTTGCATTCTAGTGCAGCAAAGTGAACAGCATCTGCTGTGAGGTGCTCACCATGAATGCTGCTTGCGGTTTTCGTGCAAGTCATGCGACTGAGCCGCACCTGCTTTTTCACTTTAGGTGTGACTACACTCGTTAACTGTGTTTTTCAGCTCTTTTTTTTCCTTGTTCCACTGAGGAGAGCAAGTTCAGTGGCTCCACTGCGTTCTTGCCGCTCTGATGGCAAAACCCTCTTGTTTTTGTCACGGTGTTTGTGGCCAAGGCGAGAACATGTGATTCAGTCCCGCTTGGGGGTCGAAGTTTTGACCGAAAAGTTGCGGAAGCAGGTCCAAATCTCAGAAAACTGGCGAATGGAAGTTGATGGCTCTAATATTGAACAAAATGAGGTTACGCTTAGCCTCAACAGCTAACAAAACGGAGTGTGCAACAAACAGGCATATTTGGGGGATTGTGTTGAGTGTGCACTGTGAGGTCTGTCACAGACCTGTGTGCAGAGGGCATGTTTTGCGCTTGCACAAGCTCTTGGCTGGATGTTGCATCCTCAGGAATCCTGCAACATATTGCACTGCAAATACGAAACGCATTGTCAACACATACTGCTGCCGGTTGAAAGGATTGATTTTGACGGTGCTCACCTTGAGGTGGTGAGGGTTCAGGCCACAAGAGTGTCATTGCCCGAATCGCTTCTTGCTTGCACTTGGATTAGATCTACCATGATCTACCATGAGTCGCAGACAGTCATAGAGAAATCTGTGTTCTCTATGAGTAGTTGCAGTTGCTCCACACGCTCTCACGCCTTTCCCTAGGTGACAGCTGTTGACACCAGCATCGATTCCTGTCTTGAGGCATGTGCAAAAATTGCTCAAGCTGTCATGATGAAGGGTTCACTGCTTTGCAAAGTTGCGGAGACACCTTGAGATCCGCGTGAGGGAACTCTTGCTTTCCGTCGCTACTCGTACCAGGAGAAAGACAGAATATCATGTACTGTACATGCCACTATGTGCCCCTTTCCGTTGAACTCAGCCACCATCTACTTTCCTTGGCAGCGAAGCTTGGTACCACACGAGAAAAGGATGCTAATTTAGATTGGAAGAGCGTACCTGAAGTCTGACACCATCTCATCCAACTGCAACAGCGAGCGCTTCCATCAAAATGGTATGGTCATTTCGTTTTGAAGCACACTATATACACCTGATGCCTGGACACTGGATTTGCAATGTTCAGTTTACGAAACAAACCGTCCAGATTTGTTTGGATGGGCACCCAGCCTGTTGCAAAATGTAAAACTTTGAACGTGCGTTGGGAAAGGATCAAGTTGCTGTCATTGATAAAGTAATGGTTTCTGCATCGAAAGGTCGCACTGTTTTCCTTGCATGCGACACCTGCAGTGAGTGCAAAACCTGCAGTGAGTGCAAAAGGCGACAACAACGAAAGCATTCGCCCACTCCCCCTCCCCGCCTCTGGAAAGCTCATGGTCTGGCAATCGGAAGCTCATGGGTTCTGGGTGACACAAGCAAAAACCGGTCTGGTTCCAGTGTGTACAACAAGATAGGACGCAACTGCATTTCAACTTTTTGAGGATTTCTTCTACGACCCTGACGTTGTTGAGTCATGTTGAGTTCATTAAGTATCAACAATCCAGATTTGAGCCGCTGATTGCACGTTTTTCATGTTGTTCGAATTCCTGTCGGTTCCAGGTGACCGCACGCTCACTTTTGCATTACTAGTAGCCGAGTCAGAACAGATTACTGCAGTGGTCAGTACCACCTGGCAATGTCATCTATATAATTTGTATCTAAAGCCACGGGATGGTTGTGAAGAGCATTACAAGATCCCAATGGCCCAATTGAAGACCGAAGCGCTGGCAGATCTATGCTGACCCTGCAGCACGGGCCCTTCAAGCCGTTCTTGACCCCAACGCAAGCCTGACTAGCTTCAGTGTCTCTCCAATGTCAGCTTTATTACTCTGATGCGTTGTCCGGCAGTTTCCATGTCTGCACATGCCACATTTCACTACACGAACCCGGGCCTAAAGGCTCAAGCATTCAGCCGCGTCAAAGAGGTGCGCACGCGGTTGTGAGATCTTTCATTGTAGCGGAGCCAGAAGAGGAAAAGAAAGAAAGAAGATGATGGATCAAGAGACGCTTCAAGCCTTGATCGTGAGCACCAGCCAATCGGCTGCAGCAGCTGTCGAAGCTGTCAGACTGCTAAAGGAGGAGAAAGACAAAGGAAACGGCCAGGGCTTCGGAAGTGCAAGCAAAGTGTTGAAGCAGCCTGAGGTGTTTTAACCTACGAATCAAGAGGAAGAGATTTCACAGTGGCAAGACAGGAGGTTGGCCTTTTGATCATGGTTGACCATTGCAGATGCCAAGTATGAGAAGGACTTGGATGAAGCTGAGAAGGCCACAGGGCCGATGGACTTCGTGGAGATGGACCAGGAGAGGCACACGGGCAGGGCAGTTGCACAGTATCCTAGTTGGACTTCTTCGACATCGACCTCTCAAGATTCTGCGATCGGTTGAGGGAAGAAGCGGTCTGGAAGCTTGGAGACAATCGTCGAAACAGCTCATGCAAAAGACGAGGGCTTGAACAATGGCTATGCTACAGGCCTATCTGTCACACCCAGTGTTCAGCAGGGAGAAAGGAATGGGGATTTTGGAGCAGTTGTTGTGCCTTCAACGATTGTCTGAAGAATACCATGCCATTTCAGGCGAAGAGATGGCTCAAAACACTCATTTCTGCTCTGCTAAGAGTCATGCCACAACACCTGAGGCAGCATATCCAGTTGACAATGGACTTGCGTGAGAAGTTGTTGTCATTTGAGCGGACCACTACATCCTACAGTTGCTCACCAGTGTACAAGGAGTTTGACATAGGTCGAAGAGATGACAAACACGATGAAGCAGTTCCCATGGATGTTGACCGCATCGAAGGAAAAGACAAAGGCAAAGCACAAGGTAAAGGAAAAGGAAAAGATGGCAGAGGCAAAGACAAGGGAAAGGGCTACGGTTCCTACAACACTGCCAATGACAAAGGCAAGGGAAAAGGAAAGAGCGCGAAGGGCTCAAAAGGTGGCAAAGATGATAAAGGAAAGAAAGGGCTAACGTCAGATGTTTGCAAGCTTTTGTGGTGGAAATGTTATTGGAGTCGAGAATGCCCAGTCAGGACACTCCGCCAGGTTTCTGACTCCTATAGCACCACGACCCCATCAGGAGCAGCGAGCGCTGTGAGCAAGCAGTCGAGTGCCACGAAGAGCGACGCCAGTGTCACAGCAGGTACTGAGACAATCCTATTGGACATCGATGAGGAGGACGAAGCAGAGGAAGCAGAGGTGAGGATGGTGAGTGAGGCCTCTGATCTCACTTACAGTGATGAGGATGGAGGTGAAGGCAAGTTCGAACACTACATGGACTTGGTGGGAGATGGTTCAAGGCCGTCAGACAGATGCTTCGTGAGGTGTTGCGCAGGCAGAGGATTGCAGAGTTGGCCTTGATACAGGTGCAGACGTTTCAGTGTTGCCTATGACTTTTGCAGACGTTGGCATTCCGTTGTCAAACAAGAGTTTTTTGAGAGATTCACAGGGCAATATCATGGGAGGTGGTGCAATGCGCCAAGCGATGGTTGCGCTTGAAGGTGAAGTGAAGACGGTCACCAGGTGCAACTTCGTGAGAGTTTTGCCTGGTCGAATGTCTCTGAACCTGTGTTGGCTCTTGGGAAGCTGCTGAGGAAAGGTTGGAAGTTGGAGGGTTCCAATGACAATGTGACAATGTGAAGCTGACGCATGGCTTGTTTAGCGAACAGTAGAGCTTCAGACACATTTCGTTGGTCACAGGGGCAAAGATCAGGAAGGTCCAAAAGGAGAAGCCGAATAAAGAGGCCAAAGGAGCAAAGGGAAGAGAGCAGGTGAGAACTGTCACAGTCGCTTTTGACGGACTCGCGAAGCTTGGTTGAGGTGGCTGGATTGCATTTGTCACCGAGCAGACGCATTCCTTTCTGGGTGTGTTTGAACAGTAAGTCCAAGAAAGACAGCTACCCTCAGTTCAACACGGTGCTGATCAAGAAGGGCAGTTCATGGGAGCTGGTGGAGATTGCAAGCAGAGCACAAGATGAAGAGGAGATTGAGGAATGTGAAGAGGAGACGACGGTTGTTTGCTTCTTCCATCAGTCTTCAGATGAGTCCATGGACTTCGGCGCAGTGATCCCCGCAAAAGACTCTATTGCGTTGAGGCCGGAGCTGAAAAAGAAGTCAATGGCAGAGAAAGAGAAAGAAGAAAGTCGCAGGCGATGGCTGGTTTGGGCAAAGCCTTGACGATGGAGTTTGTGAGGATGAGGACGGAGGAAGAGATGGGAGAGCAGCAAGAGGCTGATGAAGGCGATCCATTCCCTCGAGAACCAGGGCCGGTTGACGAGGAGATTGAGGAGATTGAGATTGAAGGAGAGAGTTACAAGAAGAGGAAAGAAATTCAGAAGAGCAAAAGGCAGATGAAGAAGACGCAAGAGGCCCGAGTTCCAAGCAAAGCGGAGAGACAAGTGCATGAGTTGACGCACTAGCCATATCAAGACTAGTGTGAGCATTGCATTGCGACGGAGGAAAAGAGGACCCTCGCTTTAAAGAACAGAACCCCGTGAGGCAAGAGGGCAAAGCAGGCATGCCCACCATCTCGACGGACTTTTGCTTCACGAAGGGCGAAGATGGAGTCGATGAGGAGAGAAAGGAAGACTTGAGAATGTACCAAGGAGACTTGAGAGGAGGCGTATCTCTTGTAGTCACTGATCACGTCGAGCGCGCTTGAAGTCACAGGCTGAGCAGGTGCTAAGGTTCATTGGCAGTGTGGGCTCCTCTCAAGTGATCTTGAAAAGTGATGGAGAACCTTCGATGAGGAAGTTGCTTGAGATCATCCAGCAGGCTAGGTTGAATTCCACACCGCGGTGGAATTCAGTGGCCCCATGATTCGCAGAGAAATGGAAGAGTTGAATGAGAGACCCAAACACTTCGTGGTTTGGCAAAGACTTTGGTTAGGGCTGTGAGAGAAGGGCGTCGTGTGAACATCAGGCCATCATCGAGCATTTTCCTGCGGGCACTTCGCCATGCAGGGTGGTTGTTGACTCACTACAGGAGGAAAGGTGAGATGAGCAGTGGAAGAACGTATGGAGGACCGTTGGCTAAGGTCAGAGGAGCAAATGGAGACGACAAGTTCGAGGTCGGTTGCTGGCCTGGCAAAACAAACCGAGCAGTCTTCCACATGGTGGCAACGGCAAAGGGATTGAAGTGGACACGCACCATCAGGAGACTGCCTTCAAGGATTTTGAGCAAGAAGCTAAGGAGCGTCGAAGGCAGGCAGGGGTGCTTGAAGATGAGGCAGCTTAAGATCCACAAAGTGGAGACTATAGTCCAAGCATTGCAGAGACTGGCGGTGTGGAGATTGGAGACGACGCATTGCTACAAGATCTGTTGGATAGCTTGGCAAAGCCCCAATATGCGAACCTGGAGACTCAGGAGGATAGAGTTCAGGAGGAGAGAAAAGAAGTGCGCCAGGGTGGTCGTAGCAGTAGCAGGTGAAATCTCAGAGGACGAGTATGAGTCGTTGACATGCCCAGATCATCCATCTGAGCTTGATCCCATTTCGTTGGCCAAGATTGAGGGTGCAGGCGCCAAGGAGGAGGTTGAGAGATTGGTCGTCGTGGGTGTCGAGATCCCACTTCTGACCACCAAATGTTGGTCATGGACTGGAGGGGGCGTGAAGAGAAGTGACCCCAATCGAACAGATGTGTTTGCTCCAGCAGGTGGACAGTCATTGCTAAGGTTAGTTCCAGCTGTCTGTCAGGTGAAGGGATGGCAGATGATGACCGTGCGTGTCAAGGATGCCCACCTCATGTGCAGCCAACCAAAGAAGGTGAAGGTTTCTTTGGTAGAGCGCTTTGAGCACCTTGAATTACCAGAACATGGGTGTTGCCTGGGCAGAGAGAGAGGGCGCAGCGCAACGGGAGCCGAAGCCGACGCCCAAGGGAGGAGGACCGGAACCACGCCCAGAGGCCCCAACACTTTGGAGAGGAGAAGGTGTCATCCTACTTGTCTTCATGTTGATGACATGATCGTTGAAAATGAAGGTCAGGCGATGGCAAAGCTCGTCGATCACCTCATGAAACTTTACAAGGTCTCGGTGGAGGAAGGGCAGCCGCTGAACTTCCTGAAGAGAACCATCACGGTGATGCGAGAGAGGAGTGAGCCGCAAATACATTGAAGGTTTGCTGAAGTTGCTTTCAAAGTTTGGAGGAGTGAAGAAAGCGCGAGCGCTAGCCTTGGACGTTGACGAGACAGAGATCAAAGAAGGTGATGAAAGGGTCGGCGCATACCGAAGTGGAGTCGGTACGCTGTTGTACATTGCAGGAGACAGGCCAGATATCCAGTACATGGTCAAAGAGCTAGCAGGCCATTTGCAGAAGCCGACAGAAGGAAGCTGGAACTCACTGTTGAAATTAGCCGGATACCTTTCTGTGATGCAGCATACCCACGCGAAAATGAGAAGCCAGAACAAGTCAAGTTCATTTCGAGGACGAGCTCGAGGATTGACTTCAGTTCCCATCTATGAAGAGGACGAGGAGAAATGGTTGCTTGAAGTGAAGTGGCGTGTGATTCAGACTGGTCAGGAAAGAAGAGCAGAAGTTCCACGTCGTGCGGAGGCAATTGGGTTCATGCATACGGACGCAGAAGCACAGATCAGGCACTTGTCAGGGAGGTTGCTTTGGCCCCTATACAAAGGCAGGGCAAAGGTTTGTGGTTTCGTCGAATTGACGCAATGACGAAAACAGCAGACTTGGGCACCAAGACCTCCCCAGGAAGACGCGCTAGAATGCTTCTTTACTCGTTGTGAGCTTCGATGACGACAAGCTTGGAGTTGAAGAGTTCCTTACAGAGAAAGAGAAGCGAGCAGCAGGAGGCAAAGCAGAGGCTAAAGTCTGTGAGGAGGATGATTCGAGAGGAGGAAGGCGTTCCGAACCGAAGAGTTCAACAGCTGCAAGCCAGATTGCAAAGAAGTTGACGAGATTAGCATTAGGTGCTTTGCTGGCAGATGTAGCCTTGAGTCAGGCTGCGGGCGAAGGTGGAGAGAAACAGTGTCCACCATTGCAGGTCAACAGAGGCGAAGTGATCAGATTGGAGTCAATCATCATGTTCCTTTATTTGGTGATTCTTGCGTTGATAGCCGGCGTGTGCATGTTGTCAGGGATTCTTTGGAAAATTGCAAGAGAGTTGTCTTGACAACGAAATTCATGGGACTACTTGAGGTGGAACAGCGAAGAAAGGAGGAGGCGTGGTGAGATCGCGGATGAAGGAAGTGAACGTGATTCAGGATATGGCTATACCAATCTGCCTGATATTAGCCCCAATGCTGATTGGACGCAGCGAGGAGATTCCGGGCTTCCATTCAATCAAGTTGTGACCGCCGTGCCCCCACACGCGAGAAGTTGGAATGAAGGTTGGGAAGAAGAAGAAGAAGAGCAAGGAGGAGAGCAACAAGCTGAAGATCCACCAGGTTTATTTGCATGAAGTTGGACAGTTGCACGTGTGTATAAGAATGGTGAGGTTAGAAGGAGAAGAAGGAGGGGGAGAAGAACAAGTTGAAGAGGAACTGGAAACCGAAACAGCTCGAGGTTCACAGTTCAACAGAGAAGAGTGTTTGAGACAGTTGCATCATTCCTTGGAAGACAACTAGATGAACGAGATGAAGAAGTAGAGTCGAATGAGAAGTATGTTTCGTCAGAAGCCTCAACAGGCTATGGAAGCTTGGAAGGAAGCTATGAGTATGAGTGGAACTATGAACACTTGAGCGACTCGGAATATGAAGACTACAGGATGAGCATTGGTTCGAGCAGGAATTGGCATATTGCAGTTTGTTTGATGGAAAAGCTTCGAACGTTCAGACAGATGAAGCGAGAGGACCCACATGACGAAGCAGTAGATGATGCCGTTGATACCTTCAAGAGTTGCTTCAGAGATGCGCAATGTGGAGGACCAAAACGAAGGAAGACGAGGGTGACCAACTACATGTGGATTGAGCAGAATATACCTCTGGAAGAATCAAGGTGGCCAGATGGATGGGTGAGCATGAGCTATGGTCCATTTGGAGTACCGGACAGAGTTGGATACAGAGGGTGAGAATGAAAAGCTTTGAAGACTATGAGATTGAAATCCAAGCTTCAAGCAAGTCCAAGCCACAGTGATCAGAAAGGAGTGAAAGGAGGAGGAAGGTCGAAGTCGAGAGAAGGTGGAAAGCAAAGGACTTCAGAAGAGAAAGGAAAGGACAAAGGCTCAAGGGCTGAGAGCTCAGGGCCGCATGCCAAAGGCTATGGAAAGGTGAGAGCAAAAGATGATGGAGACACAGATACTAAGTTGATGCAAGTGGCGGCAAGGCCAAGGGAAAGTCGAAACCATGGCTCTATGGAAGTTGAATTCAGAGTTGGAAATGGTGTTTAAGACACCGGAAATACAGGAAAGGCAACGTTCCTGAAGTGATCATTTTCCTTGGCTGCAAGCAAAAAGCAGGCAGGGTGTCAGGCAGTTTCCATGTCTACACATGCCGCAGTTCACTACGTGAGCCCGGGCCTACAGGCTCAAGCGCGTAAAAGAGGTGCGCGCGGGGTTGTGTGATCTTTCACGCGTGTATGTATATATACACACACACACTAACCCTTCATACCTCGCGAATGAATGGGCAACGACATGGAAAAATCATGGAACCTCTTGCGTTTCCCACCTTGTGGAGTTGTGTGCCAACAAGAGTTGGTCTACCGATTTCATGCACATTTCAGTATTAGTCATTCAAAGAGCTCTGATCGAATCATTCTCGAATGCACCGTCTCACTGACGAAACCGTGTGGGTGGATTTATCAAACCTTATATAACCCCAATGGTGCCGGATGCGGACATGGATGACCTCAAACTTCAAAAGCCGAGGTTCTTGACGTTTTTCCAAACCAGCCTTTGGGGGTATTTGCAATGGGGCTGCGTGGGGCTGCGTTTAAAACAGAGGCAGTGGGCCCAGACGGGGGCATCTAGATCAAAAGAAAGGAAAAACAGGAAAATATCAGAACATGATCAATTTATATATATATATAAGATAACAGGAGTACACACATAATCCTGAGTAGGTCAGTCCTGGTCCTGTGGTCCCCTGGTCATGGTGAGCTGGCCTCGTTGTCAATGGGTCAATTTTGGTCAAAAACACGAGGTTGCGAAAACAATGCGCTACCCGGTTGCCTTGGTCCTTCCGTCACTTTCTGAGTGCCTTACATTGATGAGGCAATGGGGTGTGTAGTTTTCGACTATTTTGTGCTGCCTTTTGAGTCTGATGGATTTTGATGTTGGTTTGCTCTTGGGAGGAGGCGCTGCGCCCTTCCCCCACCCCCCCTCCAGCGCCACACAAAACCGAACTGCTTTTGCCAAGGCGCTGGGCTACCACGACAGATTTTCTAAAGGTCACTCACGCACCCATCGCTCACACAAAATATTGCGCGCACTCGCCTAAGTCTGTTTGATTTTGTATTGCAAGCGGCTGCAAGCATTCTTTCATTGTCCTGTGGTGGATGAGCCCCTCATTGATAGGGCAATAGGGTGTGTAGCTTTCGATGGTGATGTATTTTGTGGTGCCTTCATGCTTTTGTAGTTTGCAGCCCCGCTCCTGCACAGGGCCTGCATGACGGACTTTTTGAAGGTCACCCCATCGCGCACCCACACCAAATATTGCACACCCTCCCTTAAGTTTTTTGATTATGTGTTGCAAGCACCCTTTCATGGTCCTCTGGCCGCCCGCCCTGCTGCTGTTGTCCTTTCCCTAGTATCCTTTTCCTTCAATTGCTCATTGAACACATTTTTTGATACCTTCTTTTCTTCTTTGTGATCCCCGTCGATTTTTTTTTGTTAATGCTGTACTTACTGTATTCCTTTTTGATCCCTCACCCCCAGAGGGGCAGCTGCAGGGCTGATGGTTTTTGCTTGTTAATATGTTTTTGTAAAATGACAGAAGGTACCGTACAATGCAACATAGATGAAAGATTCGTAAGCGGGATGCTATGCCAGAAGTCTGCCTGGCTTGCATACTTTCAACCTTCAGAAAACACTAGGAACCGCTCAATGCGGATTTGGAGTGTGGGTTTGCTTTGCTGCTTCATCACGCTTGATCACTTGTCCCACTTTGCCTGCTTGACAGGTGCACAGCGCTACTCAAGGAGATGCCACGCACTCTGAAGTTGCGTCACTCCCTGAAAGTGGTGCCCTACGTGTCACGCAATTGAGCTGTTGGACAAAGTGTGGCTCTCATTTTTCTCAAGGTCAGCCGGAAGTGCAGTGGGTGTTTGGTCGAGTGATATGAGTGCAAGGTGCCCAGACTAATGCTGAGGCATCAATGATTTTAATTTAATGAGGAAGACACCACATCGTCCCACTGCAAAACAAGCATACAGGATTAGGAGTTTGGGGCCTTTTATGACATACTTGGCTGGATCGGTAGGAGTGCACTGCTGAACGGTGTTGAAGAAAAATATTTTTGGAATTGTAGAGCTTCGCACACCGGCAATGCCACAGGAGTTTTTGTTTATTTTGTCTGCGGGTGACTCATTTTATTTATATATACATACATGTTGCAGCAGAAGTGCCTTTGGTAGCACCCATCCCCTCCGCATTCGACACCCCAATCTTTAAGCAAATCAATGCATGTTCACATCGTAACATCAAGATACATCAAGCCATTTTTGTGAGTAAGACGTTTACAGATATCTTCTGTGCTCAGTTTCTGCTGACCCCCAGCCGTTGACGTTGTTGTTGTTGTTGTGGTGGTGGTGGTGGTGGTGGTGGGCTTTTCACCATCACAGCACCTATGGTATGTTTTCAGTCCATTTTTCCCCAGCTCTTTCAGACAATTGAGCAGCGGCCAAAACTTGCCAAGAAACAATTTGAAGAGAGGTTGATGTGTTGTGCCTTCGTGAAAGCAAAACATGCAGTCGCGAAAGACCCGCGAAAGATTGTGCGAACTTTTCATTGGCGAAAGCTTGCGAAAGCTGCAAAATCAGTTCCGTCCGCGAACATTTGCGAAAGTGTTTTTGCACAGAAGGCAGCGCGCGAAAACCAAAACGCAAGCCGCGAACGTGTTGCGAAAGGAACTTGCGAAAGAAGAGCCCATTAGAACAAATTCTCGATAGGTTTTGAGCAATGCTCAATTCTCCCTAAAAGCTTGTATAAAATTTCCATATATACTTTTCATTGGAAATCTTTATCTTCATTGATTCATTGTTTGAAACTTTGCTCTGTTCTACTTTCTGCTGCTTGTCTCTAAAAAAAATATAATATACTTTTTTTGAGAGAGTCATGCATGAGAGCACGCAGAAAAGAGTGCGCCTTTGAGAGCACAGGTATGAGAGCAGATACGAGAGCACAAGCATGGGAGCACTCATATGAGCGCCTAAGAAAAGAACATTTGGGCACGCGTATTTACAGTTGGCTCTTCACAAAGTGCTGCGCCTGCGACGAAATCTGCACTTGGCGGTTCACAAAGTGCTGCACCTACCAAGAAATCTGCACTTCGAGGTTCACGAAGCGCTGTGCTTGCCACGACGTCTGCACTTCCAAGTTTACAAGCACCGTGCCTGCCACAAAATCTGCACGTTGAGGCTCACAAAGAGCTCTAGACTTGGAGGTTCCCAAAATGCTGCGCTTCCACGCAGTTTGCATTTCCAGGTTTACAGACCACGAAATCTGCACTTCGAGGCTCACATGCAAGCCTGCGCTTGGCGGTCCACCAAGTGCTGTGCCTGCCACGAAGTCGCACGTCAGGATTCACATCAGCCCTTCCAGTGCACTTCGCAATAACAGCACTTCCAAAAACAACATTGAGATGCAAAATCTCAGTTCCGCGCGATATGTCTCCCAGCACATCGAAGTAAAGCAGCTCCGATCTCCTGCGACTGCCACGGAAAGTCGACTTCAGACCATCAAAGCACAAGGGCGCGGAAGGGCCTGCCACCAAAAGTGGTCACCTAGTCCAAAAGTGTGCGCGACGCTATAATGAGAGCACAGTGGAGGAACGCACCCTCTTGAATGCGCCGTAAGTAGCATCGAATTGGCCGCACATGCCTCGCGATTAAACCCAGCCCCAACCCTTACCGCAAGATCCCCTATGACCACACTGTTTGGGGAATAAGGGTATATTGTATATTCTGGGTAAAGTACAAAATTCGCACCCATGCACGCTCAATGAGTTCTGGCTTATGGCTGATGGTTTGTTTTTGTTTATTTGTCCTTTTCTCCATTCATTTATGCTTTATATATGCGCATAGACAAGGCGAGAGTCACTTGTTTCCTTGTAGCTCCTGGTCATTCAACACGGCCAGTCGAATCAAACTTCTGTCCCTTGACTCCGGTCTTGGAATGCAGTGTTGATGCTGTGCTAGGTAAGGCAATTGCATTGATTCCGTGTTAGATTAATCATTGATCACATTGTATTTCACTTCCAAGTTTGAGCGCCTGGTCCTTGTTTAACTGAGGAAGTCAATCATGTGCTGGTCAAGGGCATCGACACAGGCTCCTTGGAAGGGCTCGAGACTTGGGAGGTCATGTTGGGAGGGTAACTTTCTGTTTTGCCAGGTAGCCAGGCTGAAATGCGTGCTGTGGAGGATGCTGTCTCCAGGACATTACCAAGCACCGAGATTGCAGGTTTCGGCTCCAAAATTGCTTTGTTTGTCATTCAAGATAATTGTGCCATGACAGCATGCCAAACATAGATGAATCTACGCACTTACTTACCTGAAGCATTGGTGATTCTTGACATTGTAGGTTGTAGAGTCGTAGAGGTTGGTCTTGTTTCTTGGGGTGACTTTGTTTTCTTGGACCTTTGGTCATGACAAGCTACATGCTGAACACATGTAGAAACAATATGTGAACATATGTAGAAACATGAATTCGGCCAAAGGCAAGGCGCCCAAATTGAATATAGATGGGGCAAAGCTTAACATGCATAAGTCAGTATGCCATCTATGTGTGCCATGTACACATTGCTGAGCAGGGGTACTGAATACTAAAAAGGGTTTGGGACGCAACACATCACAAGTCAGAGCATAGATACTATCTGGAATCTTCCTTTGCAGGATATTGGCAGAAGACTTGCAACTTCCAATGTTTGCCTTTGAAGAGCTCGGTTCTTGGACAGCGTCCAGCTGGCAAGTAGCCGAGAGGACTAACGCACGTATTTATACACAGCTTTTGCAACTGCTTCCGATTATTGATTGTTGTACTGTGCGAATTTGATTCCTTGCCAATTTTACTAGAGGAGTTACTTCTGCTTTTTGGTATGTTCAACAGACAGTTTTCTTGCTCTTGCTCTGAATCCTTTTTGATTCTGTTGGCTCTTGGCTTTCTCCTTGTTATTAGCCACCCGCTTTTCATATTCTTGCTTCATGTTGCTTTGTGGGTTTAAAGTTTGGTTGGATTCCTTGCATTTCTGTGCTAGGTGTGTCTTCATCACGACATGTCGCTGGCTTTTTTAGTCTTGTTTTGCCTGGTGGCGTTTGTTGCTTTTCTGCAACCATTCTCCTTCTGCGTTTTTGTTTTGCTAGTTTTCCACTGTAGATGTAGCTTGCGTTGTTGTCTCCAGTACCTTTCGGTTTTTTCGTGCACTTTTCAAGTTTTCTGCTGCTTCTTCCTCTCTTGGCAGTTCTCACTTTCCGTCACAGCTCCTTCTCGGCGTGGCTGGTTTCTCCTTCTATGACTTGTTGCTTGTTCTGTTGCCGTTCTGTCTTCGCTGCATTTCTGCCATTGTGCGCAAAAGCTTTCCTTTGGCACGTTGAACATCATGTGTATCCCTGTACTGTACAGTAATTGTACTGTAAAACTAATTCGAGTCTTAAGGTCTCCTCAACTCGCTTTTTGCATGCTCGGATGTTCGACTACATGGCTGGTCACAAGTCGTGTTGTGACAGTGTTCGCAACCAGGTAGGGGCTGCGCCCTCACCCAGCACGCTTTGAAGCTTTGCATAATCGATTGCCATGCTTTGTCGGACTCACACAAGAAGTGTTGGCACGCCAATCAGTACCGTGCTCTTTGTGATTGTGAGAGAGGTGCCCTTGCCAACTCAAAAATTGGACATGCAGTTCTCCATGGTTGCTACAAGGCTGTCGGCATTTGTGCCTTTTCGATTGGACTCTTTTTCATGCCCCCTCTCTCATGGCGCAGCATTTGTCCCCGTAGCCATTCTTTGTGCTTTGTGGAGCTCTCAAAGATCGAATCCTGCTCTGTACAAGTCCTGGACCCGCTTGGGCAGGCTGACTCGCAAGGTGCGACGCAAGCGGATCTCAGAGCTCGAAATACCATGAAATAGAATATTCTTTTTCCCGATAGCACGCATGATATCCACGCAATTCAAGCTCGCAAAAATGCTCTTGGATTGAAGCCCCGTGCAAATTCATTCGGCATTTGCTCTTCGCGCATCAACATTTGGAGAGCTCAGTTGATGCTTGAAAGAGATTCATGACAAGCCAAATGGCAAGTTTGACATGGAGTTGGCAGCTACAGAGGAGAAGGCTAGGTGCATCAAGCTCTATGGATTGTTAGCGTCATTGATGAGGGGAAGGGCACTGCAATTGGTGAAAGCTGCGGAGGAATCCAATGGACTTGGTGCCTGGAGGAGTTTGAACAAAGTTTCAATCCGACTTCAAAAGCTAGAGGATTAGCGCTTTCGGAAGCAGCCACTACATGGCCATCATTTTCAATGAACAGTGCACTACAACCTCAACCTCTGAAGCTTGAAGAAGTCAAAGAAGTCTTTGATGAGACGGTCAATTAAGGTAGGGACGACAATTCAAGAAGAGTTGAAATCTGCTATATACATGTATTCTTTTGAGATGTGTAGGTCGACAAGTCAAGTCATACTTTAATTTGACAATTGGCGGCAATGGTCAATACTCAACTTCGAGGGAACAAGGGTTGCAGTGGGATCGTTCTCAGCAGAGGTGGGCTACTTCAATGGTGGCAAGTAGCAGTACAGACTATCGAGGACCTATGCCAATGGACATTGATCGAGTCCAAGATGCCAGAGGAAAAGGTGAGAAGGGCAAGAATGACCATCATCAGGAAGGAAAAGAAGGTGCTCAAAAGGGCAAAGGTAAAGGCAAAGACCAAAAAGGAAAAGGTGTGACAGCGTGTTACACTTGTGGAAAGCCAGGGCATCTAGCTCGAGACTGCTGGAGGAACAAGATTCGACAGGTTGCAAGTGATCCAGCCCATTCATCTTCAGGAGGAGCATCAGTGACTACTCATACAGTTGGTCAACAACAAGCCAATGTTAGCCAGCAGAGTAGCTCAGCAGAGACCAAACCAGTGGTCAGAAGAATTGAGAACAGTGAGCTCATCATCTTTGACTTGCGAGAAAAGGATGACGAAGTAGAAGATCAGGGAATTCGAGTGATTCACTTCTACATTGGAGATGATGATGATGATGATGATGAGGATGATGATGATGATGAGCCAGAGATCAAATAGTTTGAGGAGATTGACATCTCAGATGAGGCACCCATGGTGAGGAGACTTGGGAACGACGATGTGGCCATCATTATTGACAGTGGAGTTGATGTGGCGTTATTCCCCTTGAGTATGGCAAATCGCGGGGAAGGAGAATTGGAGTTCAGCGCAAAGACCAGGCTACAAGATGCGCAGGGGAACCGTATCCCCACCCGGGGCGCGAAAAGTGTTGAGGTTTCTTTGCTTGACGTTGATGGACGTGAAGTACTCCTCAAAGAAATCATGATCTTTGTTCAAAAGTAAATCAGCCCATACTTAGCTATGGAAGACGGATGGAACACGGTTGGGGAATCAATGGTCGAGAGCAAACCTTGAAGAATGGTGACTTAAAGGTGCCACTCAACTTGCAAAATCGCTCTTTTAGGCCGTATTAGAGTCATGAGAGATGAAGATGAAAGCTGCTTGGAGGTGCAAGTACCTGAAGCTTTGCAAAAGGCAAGCATGGACTGCTAGTTGGAAGCTTAATTCTTGACTTCAAGACTTGTTGATCCCACATTCATTCCAGAAGTGGAAAAGTCACCAGGGTTGATGAGAACCACTTTGGTGAAAAGAGGAGGTCGATGGCTAATGCCTGAGTATTATGAGAGCCTGATGACAATCGAGGAACTTGACGAGCGATTCTTCAACGATCATGCAGTCAGTCCTTCAATCGCAATCTTCAGCCATGAGCCAGCGCCGCCAGAAGATATGGGTTTCTTTGTGCCAGGATACAAGAAGCTTGAGAATAGAGATGAATGAAAGAAGGAAGTGGAGCAGGCAATCGAGAAAGAATCCCCCACTCCACCGGAGAAGGAGGTAGAAGACAAGAAAGAAGAGGAAAAGAACGATGAAGACCTTGAGTGTGAACAATTGAGCCCAATGGATGTAGACAAAGTCGTGGTGAACGCAGTAGACTTGACTAAGGATTCTACTTTAGCAACATTGAGGGCTGCGTTTTCGTTTCTCGGCATTTCAGGCAGTGGCTCCAAGCAAAGGTCAATGAAGATCCTCAATCGCAACAAGAAGATGGAACTCTTGAATGCCAAAAAGCTTGGTGAGTGAAGCAAAAGCTGAAGAGACAAGAGAGGCATTAGGTCAAAGTGTGGCAAAGATGCCAGATGAAGCCACTTGGGCAAGGCGCAGGTTGACGCATATGCCATATGCCAGTTGGTGTCAGGAGCACATTGAGCATACCGCGCCCAGATCGCCATGAGAGAACTGATGGAGCAACGAGAGGAAGTTTACCTGAAGTGAGCTTTGACTTTTGCTACACAAGAGCAAGAGTTTCAGAAACAGAGCCAGCAAGAGCAGTATGTTGGTTAGTTGCTGACAGCTAGACTGGATACACTCATGTTGTGCCATTAGGAAGCAAGAACCAATTTCGCCTCATTGTGCAAGAGTTGATGAATTTCAGCCACTTGTTGGGGTATTCAGCAATCACGTGCAGAAGTGTCATTGAACCCACAACAAGACAAACCCCCAAGATGCTGATCAATGGTCGCCACAGTTTAGGACTCACTACAAGATTGATTACTTCAAAGCTTGGAGATTAATTAATTGTGTCAACAGGATGAGAAAGCTTCAGGAAATTTAATTGAAGGTGTGCAGTCAAGACCTGGTATCAAGATAGGGTCAGATCATGCGCTATGGACTTGGGCAGCGAGAGATGCCAGTTGCGTGCTGAATAGATTTCAGCTCGCTATGAGCTTGTCTATGGTAAGAGTTACAAGGGACTTTTGGCTGAATATGGTGAACCAGTCCATGGTTACATCAAGAGCCTCAACAAAGGAGAAGAGAGATGGCGTCTATGCTTGTTCTTGGGAAAAGTTGAAAGGCAAGACGCCTATGTGCTGACAGATGGTGTGCAGGTAGTGCTGAGTAAGCGCGCCAGAAGAACAGATCAAGATTGGTTCAAAAAATTTCCAACCTACAAAAGCTTCAGTGCATATTATACCAGACAAACTTTGGAGGCAGAATCATTACCGCAAAGAAGAGAGCAGAAGTGTTGCTGGCAGCGCAGATCGAGCGCGTGTGATGTTGAAGCTCAAAGATGAAGACGCAGGAGAAGTAATGGCAAAAGCTCTTGAAGTTGGAAGTGACTCAGAGAAAGAAGAGGCACTATTCCCAGGGCCAATGCCGATTCCAGCCTCGCTGGAAACTCATGTGGAAGCAATGAAAAGAGACGGAAGTGAAAGGAAGCTAAGTGGAGAAGAAACACCAAGTAAGAAGCAGAAAGTTCCCTTTGCAGACGCATCATTGCCAGCAGGACAACCCAATCCAGTTACTCCTATACTATCTTCATTGAGATCACCATCAGCGCCTTCAAGACAAAGGGAAGCCTTTTGAGTTGCTTGAAGAAGAAATCCCTACGAAGAAGCTCAGGCCATCAGATGGTTCAAGCAACAAACCCAAGATAAATTTGGTGAAAGTTACAGGCGAAGATCTTTATCGTGTAGATGAAGAGCTATCCCCAGTTGCAGAAGAAAGTGAGGAAGAAGACGGTGAAGCGAATGTACCTGAATGCTTATGGCGTGATGGAGAACATGAGCCAGAAGAAGATCCAGCAGAATGGATAGACAGAGTAGCTGATGAAGTTGAAGAGAAAAGGCCCCACAAGATGCAAGCGCTAGAGAGACCAGAAGGTAGCGCAGAAGGAACCCGTTTCCTGACAACGCGCAATGTGTATGACGGGCGAAAGAAGCCTTATCACTACGAAGATTGCTTAACGACCAAGAGGTGGAAGAGAAGAGCAAGACTAGTTGCAAGAGAATTTGCTTTCGCTGAAGGACCTCACCAGCGACTTCAGGACATGTACTGAAGCTTCTACCCACAATATTCTTGCAGAGAGTCAGTGAAGAGAAAGAATCGAGAGAGGGAGAAGGAGCATTTTCCCAGATGGTAGGATGTCTGGATGTGAAGGATGCATTCTTAGCAGGTTCCACAGGAGAAGCCATTGAAAGTAAATTTGAGGGGGGCAAAATTCTTGGCGCAGAGAAATTTTCCTGGGCAGAGAGTTGGAGCAAAAGCATGGTTTGACTTTTCACAGAGTACCTCACCGAGGAACTCAATTAGAAGTCCAGTGCTGAGTGTCCATGTGTAAGAAGAAATGAGAAGAGTATCATTTTGACCCATGTGGACGACTTGATTTTCATAGGTTGTTCAAAGTGCATTAATGAAATCTTCCTTCCAAAGATTCAAGACAGGTTTGACACCGGTGTGAGCAAAACTGAGAAGACTGGTGATGAGTTCAACTTTGTGAGGAGAAAGTATAAATTTGAGAAAGATGGAGTATTGATCCAGCCAGGTACCTACACCCCGCAAATGCTGAAAGCTTATGAGGAGAAGGTTGGAAAGATCAAACTTCAGCAACTACCATCAGACAATTCAGTTCAGATGGAGGACAAATCAGAAGTCTAGCATGAGCAAGAGAAGAAGATGAGCCTCTTCAGAAGCATTGTTGGTCAGGTTTTTAACTACGCCAGGAGAGGTTTGGTGTAGCATTTACAGTGAAGGAATTGGCTTCAAGGATGTCAAACCCAGTAGCTATGTCATTTCACCACTTGAAGCTCCTGAAAAAATATGGACTATTGTCTAGCAGTTGAATTTCCACAAGCGCGAGAAGGCTATGTCAAGAAAGGAGAAAGCTCTTGGCGCTTGGAGACATTCTCAGATTCAGACTGGAGTGGAAATTCAAAGCACAGAAAGTCAACGTCAGGAGGATTCCATGCATTGAACAGTTGCCCATTGTTCAAAAGCAGCAGGACACAGAAGATCATTCGCTTATCTTTATGTGAAGCAGAGTTGCGCGCAATGCTTTATTTGGCGTCAGATGGGGTATACCTTCGCTCACTTCTTGAGTTTGCGCTTGGGACAAAGGTGGACCACAACATCTTCACAGATTCTTCAAGTGCGCGCCAACTTGTGATGACGAGAGGAGTTGGAAAAGTGAGACACTTAGATGGACTCAGAACAGAAAAGACGTCAATATGGTGTCAGTGCTAGCAGATAGCAACATGGCAGACATCAATACCAAACTTGGATTGGAGGGCACAGAATCAGATACGTGATGAACCTCATTGGGTATTGGCGCAGTGAAGGGCAAACAAAGAGCAGGAGCACTTGCAGGAAAGGTCAACAAGATTGCCAAGATGATTGCCAGAATGGTAGCATTTGGGCTTGCAGCCAATGGTTACAGAGGCATTCAGGAGATACAATGAGAGCAGTCAATGCAAATCGGAAGCGGAAGACTCCAAAAGAAATTGGAGGGTTACAATCATCGTGATCATTATCGTTAGATTTGCCGCCGTGACCTTTGCAATGTGGATGCTATACGAGCAGTTCCAGCGCAAATATGAAGCGATGAGGGACTTATGAATGAAGTGGAATTCAAGATGGTGGAGATTGAGCGCGTGATTGATCAGGATGAAGAAGATGGACACAGGAAAGACATTCTCCAGAGTTATGCCATGAGAATTCATTGTGTTTTGATTCTCAATGGAGGCTTTGTAGAAGAAGTAAAAGAACCTGACTATAAGTCTATATGCAGCTATGAAATGATTGCGCAGGCAAACGCTAGCCAGAAGGAGTTTGGAAGATATGAGATCAACAGGTGGACATTAGTGGGGACGTGCAGCAATGCTAGAAGCAGCCACTCAAGGAGCCAACCAACAAGATATTCAAGCCAGCAAACGAAGAATATGTGAGCAGTATGGAATTTGAACAGGAGCAACTGAATCAACTACTTGGTCGACTTTCCATGAAGCTTGAAAGTTTGAGACACCAACACTGGGTATGAACGGGAAGAGCAGAGTACGACCAAGCAGACAAGGTTGATAGTGAGACAAACCGATATCGACTGCTGATTGATGAAGTAGAAGCAGGGCCAGAAGGACCAAGGAACCCAGAAGACACAGCAGAAGAAACCTCAAGGGACCCCGTTCTTTAGAGGAAAAGAGGAACTCAGCAGAAAAACGATGGAAGCAGAGTGGACCATGGTGGCAGAGTGAGCTAAAATAGCCATTTGAGCGCTCACACTACCAAGAAGGAGCGTGAACAAGTTTCAAGGTAGACCACATGCAGCGTGTACAGCGCATTTGTTAGCTTTGACCTGCTTTCAGCCCTTTTGTGTCAAGGATAAAGGTTCGCACATATATACAATGGTAAGATTATATATATATATATTGTTTTTAGTATATGACCAGTTTAATGAATCGTCACCCCAATGGTGCCACCGCGTGCTGTGACTGACCCTTCACGGGACACTACTGGATTTGCGCGATAAGATCCCTGCAGACCTTCGCTTCAGACCTTCGCGGCGCCAATTGGGACAGACTCCAGACAGAAACAGGGAAAGCGACGAAAACAACAAAGGCGCAGCGAGTTGATGAAATTCATTCACCGGTTATATAACGTTTTAGCAAAGGCGGGGCGGCAGCTTTGCGGACATTTTTGATCCACTTTTGGGAGGCACGAGCTTGGCCGCGCCAACATATCTAATAATTTTGTTCATTCGTGGTCGTCCATTTTTATCCTGCCATGCCCGCCGCGCAGGTCCCAACGTGCTCGCTGTTGGGGACGCAAATCTCCGAGCTTTGGGCTCAGCGCAGTCCTAGATGAAGCCCGAATGGACACGTAAAAACCATAAAGCGCCCACAGTGGAAGGGGCTCAACTCGTTTCAGGTGTGTTCGTCGCACAGAATTTCAACGAACTTGCCTGAATTCGTTTTGCTTTATGGTTTCGCACCATTGTTCAGGTTGCGGCTAGCATCACTCCAATTCAAAGCAGTGAGCCCTTTGATGAAGCAGTTGGAATTTTTGAGCAGATTGAGGACTGCAAGAATGTGTGTGTGTGTGTAACCCTTGGAATCAAAGGGAACCTTAAGGTTTGGAACAGGGGGCTGGAGTGTGCTTCAGATGTCTCCAGCCAATGTAGACGCATCTGTCGCACAGTGACATAGTTCTGGGATGCCAGAACTACGTACCTGTTCCACTATTTAGGAAAACAGGAGGAAATGGTACTGTTTTCCTCTAAGGCTACCCTATAGGTTGCAGGTAGGCCTCCAAACTTTGTAAGGGGTTCTTTAACTTGAACTTTGGCCTCCACCCACTAGAATGGACCCCCAACTTTTGCTGTTTTGCTGTTTTGATATCTTGTTTGTCTTGTGCTTCTTGTCACCTACTAGCGATGGCCCCCAACCTGCCTTCGACGGCCTCTAACCTAAGAGCGAAGACCTCCAACTTTGACCGCTTTGCTGTCTTGTGGTTTCGTGTCTCCGACCTATACTAGCGATGGCCCCTCAACCTGCCTTCGACGGCCTCCAACCTAAGAGCGAAGACCTCCAACTTTGACCGCTTTGCTGTCTTGTGGTTTCTTGTCTCCAACCTACTAGCGATGGCCTCTCAACCTGCCTTCGATGGCCTCTAACCTAAGAGCGATGGCCTCTAACTTTTGCACCTTGTTTTACTCAGGTTTTTTTTAACCTAGGCTGGCGCGTGGCACCGCTGTTAAATCCGTATGCATATCCATAAGTGTGTTTGGCCTCGTGCCAACCCGGGATGAGCCCGCAGAGTGCCTCCCGTGGACCCGTTGAACGGGGGTTGGTCGTTATCTCCCTTGCTCCGGAGATGTAAGTGCCCAGAGCGGGCGAAGGTGGCCTCGGCCGTACGTACGATGATTTTTGTCTCATCTTCCTGTTCCTCATCGAGGGATTCCAAGTTGGCTCATGCCTTTACGTGACCGCAGCGGGCCAAGCTGGCTTAATGCCTCAACGTGGTCAGAGCGACCGAAGTACTTTTGAGGTTCATTCCTGTGGAGAACTTAACCCCCTCTCCTCCCCCTTCCCTTCCCCCCCTTTCTTTCCCTGCTTTCAGGGGTTTTCCTGAATGAAATACTCAGGATCTCCCCTTTCCTTCTTTGGTGTGTCCCTGACGATTGTTCGTAGCTGGGAACACCTTCCTTTCTCTCCTCTCCCCTTCTCTCCCTCTCTCTTTCTTTCCTTCTCGTTTTCCTCTCTTCACCCTCTTCCTTGGGCGTCCCTGGATGCTTTCGTCATAGCTGGGAGCCCTTCCTTTTTGGTGTGTCCTTGGACGCTTGTGCCGTAGCTGGGAACACCTTTGCTTCCTTCTCTCCCCCCTTCTCTTTTCCTCCTCCCCTCCACCCCTTCCTCGCGCGCGGCGTATTTACAAGCAAACTAGGCTTTTGCCACAGGTTTCTCAATGAGGTTTGGACTGTCATCGGTTTGCCCCCTTTCATTTGGTTCCCCTTTCATCCGCCCCCACAGGCACTTTTTTTCCTTCTTTCCTTTCATGTCCTTCTGTCTTCATGTCTCTTCATCCTCATCCTTTCTTTCTCTTGCGCGCACTATTGTCTGGACCTTAGTTTGTACACATACACGCACGCGTACTCTACTTACAGCAAGGTTCAGGTGGCCCAGGTTCGTTACAATGAGGTTTGGCTCATCGGTTGTCCCTCTTCACTTGGTTCCTTTTCATCGGCAACCACACACACCTTTGTCTGTCTTGTCCTTTTCATTTTCATCTGTCCCTTTTGCGTGCGCATGTGCCTACCTCCTTTCCGGGCAGGATGGAGGTCATGCCTCCCTTCGGGGAGGCGTGTGTGTGTAACCCTTGGAATCAAAGGGAACCTCAAGGTTTGGAACAGGGGGCTGGAGTGTGCTTCAGATGTCTCCAGCCAATGAAGACGCATCTGTCGCACAGTGACATAGTTCTGGGACGCCAGAACTACGTACCTGTTCCACTATTTAGGAAAACAGGAGGAAATGGTACTGTTTTCCTCTAAGGCTACCCTATAGGTTGCAGGTAGGCCTCCAAACTTTGTAAGGGGTTCTTTAACTTGAACTTTGGCCTCCGCCCCTGGAATGGACCCCCAGCTTTTGCTGTTTTGCTGTTTTGATATCTTGTTTGTCTTGTGCTTCTTGTCACCTACTAGCGATGGCCCCCAACCTGCCTTCGACGGCCTCTGACCTAAGAGCGAAGACCTCCAACTTTGACCGCTTTGCTGTCTTGTGGTTTCGTGTCTCCAACCTACTAGCGATGGCCCCTCAACCTGCCTTCGACGGCCTCCAACCTAAGAGCGAAGACCTCCAACTTTGACCGCTTTGCTATCTTGTGGTTTCTTGTCTCCAACCTACTGGCGATGGCCTCTCAACCTGCCTTCGATGGCCTCTAACCTAAGAGCGATGGCCTTCAACTTTTGCACCTTGTTTTACTCAGGTTTTTTTAAACCTAGGCTGGCGTGTGGCACCGCTGTTAAATCCGTATGCATATCCATAAGTGTGTGCCCCTTGTAGTCACACGGAGTCTTTTGAATTGTGAAGGAATGACATTCACAAATCTTGAAGTGTACCACAATGTTGCAGTGTAAAGGAATGACACCCACCAACCTTGAAATGTTTCACGATGTTGCTGTGCGCTTGTAGTCACAGGGATTCTTTTGAATTTCTTTTACAATGAGCAGGGGGTAGCGGCAGATCATTTGGGACCGCTACCAACGAAGACGCCCATTTGATCTGGTGATATCGGAGTTGGCCACTCCGACGTACTTACTTGCTTTCTTCGAACTTGTGAACTTTTGTAAAGGGCTAATGCACTTGGCAGCTGTGCACGCTACGACGTCACCCTGTCGCTCCGACTTCGGCTTGCGCTTCGGGCCACACTTCCTTTTGAAGACCCCCAGAATCCGTTGGTTCTTACTTGTACCCTTAGGAATTGGTATCCTAGGCCGGCGTGTGGCACCGCTGTCAAGTCAGTACGCGTATCTATAAGTGTGTCTCTCCTAGTGAGAGTCCGGGATGAGCCCGTAGAGTGCCTCCTGTGGACCCGTCGAACGGGTGTCTGTCGTTATCTCCCCTGCCCGGAGATGTACGCGCCCAGAGCGGGCGTAGGTGGCCTATGGAATTCGAAGTTGGCTCATACCTTTACGTGACCGCAGCGGTCACAGCAGCCAGCCACTTTGGCAGGGCGCAAGGTGACCACAGCGGTCAAAGTACTTTTGAGGTTCGTTGGAACCTGTCGAGCTCAGCCCCCTCCTCCCCCTTCCCTCCCCCTTTCTTTATTTTGCTTTCTGGTGTTTTCCTGAATGGAATACTCAGGATCACCCGGCCATCTTTGGTGTGTCCTGGACGATTGTTCGTAGCTGGGAACACTTGCCTTTTTCCTTTTCTCTCCTCTCCCTCCCTCCCTCCCTCCCTCCCTGTCTGTCCGTCCGTCGGTCTGTCTGTCTGTCTGTCTTTCTTTCTTTCTTTCTTTCTTTCTTTCTTTCTTTCCTCTCTTCACCTCCTTCTTCCTTGGGTGTCCCTGGATGCTTTCGTCACAGCTGGGAACCCTTCTCCTCTCTTCTTTTGGTGTGTCCTTGGATGCTTTTGTCGTAGCTGGGAACACCTTCCTTTCTTCTCTTTCCTTTTTCTCTTCTCTTCATCTCAGTTGATTCCTCCTTCTCCGCTCCCCGCTCCTCTTTGGTGTGTCCCTGGACGCTTGTTTCGTAGCTGGGAGCACCTCTCTCTCTCTCTCTCTTTCTCTCTCTCTCTCTCTCTTTCTCTCTCTCTCTCTCTCTCTCTCGCTCTCTTTCCTTTTCTTGACGGGTGTGTCCTTGGACGCTTGAGTGGTAGCTGGGAACACCATCGTCTCTTTCCTTTTCTCATTTGGTGTGTCCTTGGACGCTCACCGCGTAGCTGGGAGGACCTCTCTCACTCTCTCTCTCTCTCTCTCTCTCTCTCCCTCTCGCTCTCTCTCTCTCTCTCTCTTTCGCACTCTCTCTCTCTCTCTCTCTCTCCCCTCCCTCTCCCTGCGCCTCCCGCTTTGCAGCTCTCTCCTACCGGCCTCGCCGCTTTCACCTTGCCACACACAGGCCTTCAACCTTTCCTTTCCCTTCCTTACGCCGGGGTCTACACCCTATCGGATAACAGCGTGCAGGGGTGCCTGGGCCTTTCAGTGTGCAGCTGGCAACCGCACCAACCATCCTTCCTCCAGTTTACAAGAAACGATCACTTCTTTTCCGTTTCTTGTCCTTCCTCTTCCTGCGCCTCCACTCACCTTTCCTGTCCCTTCCCTACGCCGGGGTTTACACCCTACTGGATAACCGCGTGCAGGGGTGCCTGCATGGGCCTTTTACTGTGCAGCTGGCAACCGCACCAACCATCCTCACTGAAATCTCACCCCACCTTTGGTGCGGAGCTTAAAATCTTGCCTCCCTTCGGGGAGGCGTGTGTGTGTAACCCTTGGAATCATAGGGATCCTTTTGGATTTGTTCGGTTTGCTTTTTCGCTTTATGTCATAGCAGGGGGGCTGGTTGTTCATGCAAGTACCAGCCCAACGAAGAGGCTTGCATTGAACACTGATATCGGTGGGGACGCTCACCGACGTACCTGCATTTTCCTTTTTCCGAATGGCGCGAGGCTAAGCCCAGAACCTCAATAACTGCAGACAAGAGCGATCGCCGTCACCTCGCCCTGTTCGTCGTCTCGTGGCTTTGGAAGTTTGGCCTTTAACTACAGGCGCTCAGGCCCCCTCACCTGGTTTTTCAGGATTTGGGTTTCTTAGGCTGGCGTGTGGCACCGCTGTCAAGTCAGTACGCATATCCATGAGTGTGTGCCCCTTGTAGTCACAGGGATTCTTTTGAATTGTGAAGGAATGACATTCACAAATCTTGAAGTGTACCACAATGTTGCAGTGTAAAGGAATGACACCCACCAACCTTGAAATGTTTCACGATGTTGCGGTGCGCTTGTAGTCACAGGGATTCTTTTGAATTGTTTCTTTTACAATGAGCAGGGGGTAGCGGCAGATCATTTGGGACCGCTACCAACGAAGA